TTTGTTTATAAATACCAGTTGCTTCCACATTAAACACTATTTGCCGACGCTGGGATTGGGTGGAAAAAAGGCTGAATGGTAGTCACTATGTGACTTAGGGCCGTAGGATGAAACATATCTGCATGTGATTAGCATTTGTTGGTCCTTAGTGACTTTCCACTTGCGGTCCTAAAGGTCGTTGAGCTCACTGACTCGAGACTTTATTAGATATGGACCAAATTAGGAGCTAGTGATGACCTCGTTTTTAGTTTTATAATTTTTAGATAGAAATATGAAACTCCATTAACTGAAAGAAATCTTGCTTTTCTGCATTATACTTACCTCCTTAGTTTCTTTGCTTACTATTACCTAATGTGTGGCACAATTTGTTCGGTTCCCTAATGTACCAAACTGTTTTTTGTAAATAAATAATTAAATGATGGAGGATCTGGTCAATGATATGCACTTTTGCTGTGGAACTCATTGCTAGTTTTAATGTCGTCGCCTTCAAAGTTTTATTTATTTATTTATTTAAACACATATATATTGGTACAAAAGGGCACCAGATACATATGCGCCACACAAAATAATGAAAGTAGGAAGAGAAGGGATGAAAAGATAAGGCGGGCTGAAATGTACAACCAGAAGACTCTTTCAGTTAAGAAAGTTAGAACCACTCTTTATGTAGAAAGTAAAGGAAGGTTGCAGCAGGATCGCCACTGGCTTCTATTCTGAGCCATATCTGATAACGTCTCTAGTCACTGTGTTGCACCATCTCTCGGACCCCAGCCAGGGAGTCGTGAAGGACCAACAGAAGCTATCCCTTTGCAGCTTTCTTTCATGCCACGACACCATGTCATACACTGACCTCCTCTCCTCTTTTTCCAACCAGTCCCAGAGTCGGCAAATACTGCACGACGTGGAAGTCTCTGGGACGACATTCGTAAAACATGTCCCAGCCACCGAAGTCGGTGTTTCAAGATGGTGACACCAATTGAATTATCGTCTCTGTGCCCGAACACACGATGCCGAACCTCTGCATTACTAACATGGTGTTGCCACTGGATGTCAGCAATCCTTCGGAGACAACGATGATCGAACACAGAGAGTCGTCTAACATCCTCAACTCGGGGAGGCCAGGTTTCACAAGCATAGAGCAAAACTGCTCTCACCGACGCGTTGTAGATCCGACCTTTTACAGCCAGACTAACATCACGAAGGCGCCAAAGATGGCCCAGATTGGCATAAGCCGCTCTGGCTTTCATTAAACGTGCATCAATCTCATCACTCACGCCACCACCAACACTTATATAGCTACCTCAGTCAGTCAGTCACAACATAGAACTTCGTACGTACGTACATCAGTTCGAGTTGCCATACCACATTAGCACAGAGATGCAGTTGTCGATTCAAATCCCATAGTGGTAGAAGTAGTAGGAGTATAATCAGAAATCCAAAAGATTAGGGTTTGAAGAAATTATTGAAGGAGTATAGTACAGTGAAATAAATTTGGAAAGAGAAAAAGATAAAGACATGAGGAATTCAGAAGATTAGAATTTGGCAGAACACAAAGAGTGGATGCATCTTCGCCATTGCAAACGATTTTGAGCCATGTCATTCAAGGTCTCTAACCATCGGTTGCTGTCATCTCGCGAATCCCAACCAGGTAGTCTACACCTACCAACATGGCCCAGTCCACTTGTCAGTGACTTCATTGATTTGTGCCACGTTTTGGTCTGGCCACCCCTAGCTTTCTTCCAACCTACTCCTACACCATGAAACATTGCACGTCGGGGCAGTCGGTGGTCGGGCATACGTAACACATGTCCCAGCCATCTCAACTGATGAAGTTTCACTACTTCATCAATCGATTTGCCATCCCTACCTAGTACTCGTTTCCTAACAACTGCATTACTTACCCGGTGGTCCCAGGATATACGAGCAATGCTTCGAAGACACCTATGATCGAACACTAGTAGCCTACGAATATCCTCTACTCTTATTGGCCATGTTTCACTGCCATAAAGTAGGACGGAGCGAACTGCTGCACAGTAAACGCGTCCTTTGGTTGCTAGACGGATATCTCGCCCACGCCATAAATGACGCAAGTTGGCGAAAGCTAGACGAGCCTTCTGTATCCGTGCTGAGATTTCGTCACATACCAGACCACAAGGGCTGATGAGACTCCCAAGATAAGTGAAGTGGTCTACACGCTCAACTACTTCACTCCCTATCATTAGTTCAGGTGTCGCTGCAACCCAATCCTGAAGTAACATTTTGCACTTCGAGGGAGAGAATCGCATCCCGAACATGCCTGCATAGTTGCTTATAGTGGTCAGAAGACTCTGCATGTTGTCAGCGTCTTCACCGAGTAAAACTATGTCGTCGGCGTATTCTAAGTCAACAAGTGAGCCTCCTGGTAAAAGTTCAACTCCTGGAGGTTTAGCTGATGAAAGTGCTATCTCTAAAAGTATGTCAATGACAAAGTTAAACAAGAATGGGGAGAGTGGACAGCCCTGACGAACGCCACTTGTGGTAATCAGTTCTGATGACAGTTCGCCATAGGCTCTAACTCGACCAGTTGTGCTGGAGTAGAGAGCCTTTATGAGGTTAATGTACTTCTTTGGTACTCCTTTCAGTGACAAACATTGCCATAGAACCTCACGATCAACAGAGTCAAATGCCACCTTAAGGTCAAGAAATACTACTATTGTGGGACGTCTGAATTTGTGTCTATGTTCTAGAACCTGACGTAGGGTGAATATCTGGTCTATGCAACCACGTCGTCGATGGCAAAGTTGAAGAAGAATGGTGAGACCGGGCAACCCTGCCTAACCCCACTGCTCGAATGGAACAAGGCAGAAAGGTGGTTGTATGCCCTCACTCTGCCTGAGATGTTCGTGTACAGGGCCTTTAAGATGTTAACGAACTTCTCAGGCACACCCTTCTTGAATAGACAATCCCAGAGAACAGTCCTGTCCAACGAATCGAAGGCAGCCCTGATATCAAGAAACACTACGATTGTTGGCCTGCGATAAGTATGACGGTGTTCTAACATTTGGCGGAGGGTGAAGATGTGATCAATGCATCCTCGACCAGAACGAAAATCAGCCTGCTCCTCGCGAGTCAATCGTTCTCGGGTTTTAAACAACCTACGAAGAATGACAGAAGCCAATAGTTTGGACGCAATCGGAAGTAGACTTATCCCCCGATAGTTGTTACAGGAACAACGTGAACCCTTTTTAAAGATATGGACGACTATCGACTCATTCCATGATGTTGGAACACTTTCTTGCTCCCAAACTTTTCCAAACAACACAGTCAGTTCCTTAGCCAGAAAGTCACCACCATCTTTAAAAAGAGCCGGAGGTAAGTCATCTGGGTCCGGTGATTTGTAGCGCTTCAAGAGTTGGAGTTCCTTGCGGACTTCCGCCTCGTTTGGTGGAACAGTCGTCACCGGCCATGGGGGGCAGGACAAGCTGGTTGATGTTGCCGGAGCAGCAGGCCAGTTGAATTGCCCTTCGAAAAATTCCGCCCATCCTCCAAGACGTCGAGAGACGTTAGTGATTGGCATCCCATCATCCTCGTAGATTGTTTCACACCACACCAGTGGCTCGGATGAGTTGGAAGAGCTTCCGGCAGTTACCAGATGCAGCTGCTGCTTCCATCTCATTAGCACGCTCCGACCACCAGGCTTCCCGGTCCTTACGCAAGCTTTGCCCAATTTCATTACGTAACAGCCTTCGTTTGAAGTCAAACTCACGGTCACCCGGAGTAGACCGACGGGCTTCGATCAGTTGTAAGGAGCCAGAAGAAACCCAGTGCTTGTAAGCGGGACGTTTCGCGAAGCCGCAAGCGGCTTTACTCGCCATTTTCATGGCGTCATGAAGATGCAACCAATGCTCATCTATACTTTTCGGTGGGATGGTAGCTAGCCTAGAGGCTAGCTCCGCTCGATACTTACTTGCAACAGAAGTTGCAGCCAGTTTACTAACATCGATCCGTTGGTGGTGGTCAATCCTTCGGCCACTGAAAAGTAAGGTGAGATTGGCGCAGACCAGGGCATGATCAGACTCTAGATAGGTACTCCAAAAGGAGCGGCAGTCTTGTACACAACCACGCCAGCGGTAGCTGATCGCGATGTGATCAATCTGAGTCCAGGCTTGAGATGCAGAGGGAGGACGCCAGGTGGCACACCGGCGATGACTGTGCCGGAAGTTAGTGTTAGCCAGAAACAGGTTGTGGTCTGTGCACAGTTGCAGTAGACGGTCCCCGTTATCTGTCCTGCGACCAACAAGTTCCCATCGGCCACCTAAACGACTCTCTTCTGTGCCTAGATGCCCAACCTGAGCATTCAAGCAGCCAATAGATGGATATATTTCTCAATCATGATAGACAATTAGACAGTCGTATCATCATAGTACCAAAGACCACGAGTTCGCACTCATCCTCACGAACCACTACCCTTTACAAACCCACAATAAGTTGTTTAACAGTTTTGATGCTTCCTATATATAGTAATTTCTCAGTCCAACGAAAATGTGTGCATATTCATACAATTTGCACATGCTTCAATTTTCTATGGATTTAGTGTTGATACAGTCTCTTAATAAAACATCGAATTCAAGATTATTTACTCTTTCTTGAGTTGGATTGTCTTGTGAAAGCTAGTGACACCATCCAGTTGTCCAGTCTTAAGTATGTAGGGCGGGGTGTTGACTTGTAACCTACTGGTTGAAAGTCTAGTGCTTTCCACTACTAATATACCTCATGCATCTGTAAATGATTTGTAGTCGCCTTAGGTCAGTCCTCTGTTCATACTGGAACTAGTTCAAGAAAAAAATTTGCCTCGTTTTGAATCAATGTAATATTGGATCCTTCACTTTAATTTCCGAGATTTTCTACTATAAGATCTATTTGACATATCTAAAAAATCCATTTATTTTTATGATTATCTTGATTCACTTTTTGTTTATTGTATTCTATTTTCATAACTAATTTTTCAGAAGGACTAAAACCGAATGACCAACAATATTGACTTTGTGTCAGCTATCCATTGTGGCCATTCAGAAGCAAAGTTAACTAGATCAAATTCTGATGCACCTTTCAAATCGATACGCAGAGTCCGTTTTCCTGAAGATGACAAACTTATATCAGACTATTTAGAACCGTTCCGATTAAGTAATTAAAAAGTTTTGATTCTTTTTCGCGAACTAGCTTTTGCTTTCTGTTTGTGTGGAAATGCTTTGTGCCGAATAATTTAGAAAGCAGTGGTGGTTCGTTAAAAATAGATAACAGTAGAATACGGAATGCACACATAATTTTTGTTGCAGAAATGATCAAAAACTTCCATGCTCTTTTTGTATCTTGGACCTATGAGGCGACTATAGTAAACACTTGGATTGTTTAGATAATGAAAAACCGTATGAGCGCCCCATATATATTTAATTAAATTAAAAATGAGTGACATAATAGATAGAAAACTGTATTTTACCTTGAAGACAATATTCATTTTTATAGGATTCATAAGCATTTATATCTACCTTCAGTTGTGTCTAAGACATATTGAATGTAGTTAGATTCAGTGCATAAAAAGACAGCTCAACAGTTAACCACAATTTAGTTGATCCAAAGTCTAACTAGATCACATAAGTTAAATATTTCTTAATATATTTATGTAATCACATTCACTCCTGTTATTGAATTCTAATTATTTAGTTCTTTTCCTTTTTGGATATTGGGGTTGTTTGTTAGCTTTGTTTTAATTTGTTAATTTGCCACCATTCAGATGTACAAATTCAGTTTGTTTCTCTAGCTTTAGACTACACCTTATAAATATCTTCGTAGGTGGTTACATTAAATATAACTTCGAAAAGATTTGCGATCTGACATAAAATCCTGTGATCATACATTCCATCCCAAATGTAAACTACCTCATTCATCATCTTGTATACGCTTTGGGTAATTTAAACTGGCTTAAATCTGAATTCGTCTTTCATATTGACTTGAAAAAGAATATTTGTTGAAGTAGTGCAGGCGTTTTATAAATCGTTACGCCATTATTTCATGCCGATTTTATTAGTTCTCGAACTATATTCTCTATCTTCAGTTACAACTACCATTAATATTTACTAATTTGGTTTACTTGGTTTTTTCGTTGTTAATTTCCCCTTGTCTCAATAGTTGGTTGGTTATAAACAACATAGAACCTGAGAGATTTGTGCATCGGTCGCAGTTTCTGCACCATATTTGTATAAAGGGATGAAATTATCAAAACGAATACCAGCTTAGACTTAGTTTAAGAGGTAATAAAAAAGATTAGCTTAATAGCGGTGGGATATTTGACAGCCTGGGTTGATGCACACTTATGCATGTATACACTTTTCTGCCAAGTAGTTACTATAGCGTAAATATGATCTTTAAATTGAGTTCGATGTTTTAAATTGTTTGCTTAATCATTCAGTTTGTTGGATTTTATATTTTTGTTGTTTACTTAACTTGGTTTTATCCTATCCTTTTATTTCTTGTAGCAAACATTATTATTTTAACATAACTGGTATTTTCATTTTGTTCCTTCAGTTCCAGATAATTGTTCAAGTGAAGAACTTCAGGCTGCGTACTTTTCTTCTTGTTTTGAGCATAGAATAACTCCCATTAATTTTTTATTGGAACAAATAAAGGTGAGCTCTTTGATTATCTAGTATAATTTATTTATTTATTTAAACACAAACATTGGTACCGGGAGGCACCAAATGTATATTCGCTACACTTCTTCATCCGATTTGTATGAAGGATGGGGTACTGTTCGGGAGCCAAAACCAAAACAGGTGGTTTCCTTAGGAGACCACTCCCTAAGCTTTTGACCTAGAGGTCTAGTCCACCAGGCGCAGAGTAACGTTGGGAGATAAAGTCCCATGGGAACCGTTGACCAACAATAGGTTTATGCGCCTTTTGTTTCCTCAGGATCCCATGTGTACCATTAATTTGGAATCAGGGTTCTCCAACTCCCCTAGGTGGACACTCCACATCCACCAACCCGGTTAAAGCACCACACATTCGCTTTTTGTCCTCTCAATTTTGTAAACAACACGCTCGGTGAGAAGGCAGTGAGTAGGACTTCCGTGGCAGTTGCTGTATACGCGAGGCCATGTGAGAGGATTTATAGACGGAGAGTAGACTCTCTACATTATCGGTCGTACCATAGCATTTAGGGGCCATTCGATATAAAACGAGTGGAATGGATTTTTTTTTCTGTAGTCATTTGTAAATGCTATTCTACCCATAATTTTATGCTATATGTAACTCGTTAAAAACATTAACTAGTTTCAGCATTATACTAACAGAAACTGATTTAAGGTAGAGTATATTATTTAAAATTATAACGTGTGTATTTACGATCGTTTGTAATATAAAAAAAATAAAATCGTTAATGTTGGGATGATTAATATAAAGCGTTAACTTGAATAAGTTTATACGTTAATTGAAATTGCGATAAAAGATCAAAATTAATGTGATTAACATGGAGTACGAGAGATAATGTAATTACAAATCAGAAATCATGTAATATATGCGATCATATAGATTGGTTATGAATTATTAAGTAGGGGTGGATGCTAAATAAATATTCCAAAAACCTTGGCAGTTTTTATAATAATATGTGTGAATAAGTTTAAGCTATGAAGATGACTATTGATCAAATTAAGTCACTCTATCATAGCTAAATAACACAGAAGTAGCAGAGCCAAAAATTTGTGTGCATGAAATACTATTGAGTCTCTTGCATATAAAGCACCATTTCACGATTCTTCCGATAGCAGCATGAACCTTGATGATCCAGAACTTTTCGCGAACTGTTCAGGGTGTGAGTGATACCAGAATGTGCGTTCTGCAGATGATAGTGTATTACGATCAAGTCGGTAAAAAATGATTACTAAGAAGTATAAGCAGATGCTTACTTTCGAACGGCAAGCACGATAATTGAAGTCGTCTCCCTACTCGAATGACGTCATCTATTACGAAGGAATTAAGATTCTTTATCGGGCTCCTAAGCGCAACGCTACTTCACATTTTTTTACCAGCAGACATTAAATGGAGTGTCATCTCCTTATTCGAAACAGATCCACCTACTCTCCTCGGTCTTTCTTGAGATTCACATGTATTGCCGTGCTCGTCTTTATGCTGTATTTGCTTTAGTGTTTCCATCTCTATGGGGAATGAGATCATTTGAACCAACTTATTTATATTCTACTTCGCACTATCAATTTCTTCCAATCTCAATCTACCAAGAATTAACTGTCTTCTGTGTAATCTCATCCTCATATTGCGGACTGACCGTATACATAGAGCGAATATTCTCAGTATTTTGGACCAGGTCTTACAATTACTAAATCGATCCAAAAATTGGTCTAAATAACTCCCCTCCGGTGTCTTGCCTATTTATTCTGTAAACAAATGGACTGAAGCATGGTTCTCCTTTTCGCGTTAATTTGGCTATCCACTTTCGTTCTGCCATAAAAAGTTCGGTACGTGAAACCACTCATTTAGTTTAGTGTTATCATCTAGCGACAATCCACGCGAAGCATAATCTACAAGATTCTGTTTACGTTTAACATATCTCCATTGGCTTGCTGTCGACAGTTCGTGAATCGTCGCTAATCTATTGCTTATGAATCTCTCAAATCTTTTGGTTGTATTTCTTATACAATGAAGTACGATTAATGAATCCGTCCAATAAGTGACAGAAGAGATCGGGATACGCAGATTTTGTTCCACGCGTTTTCTGATCTTCAGACACAGTACATCAGCGGTTAATTCCATTCTAGGAATGGTTATAAGTTTCAGTGGGACAACCCTGGACTTAGCTAATAGAAAGGAACAATCAACTTGACGGGAGGCATCTTCAAAACGAGCACACAGCAGAACACCATATGCAAATTCTGAGGCATCGGCAAAGCAATGAATCTGAATAGCCAGTGGTTTGTACGATTCTGGTACGGAATATCTACGAAGTAATAATTCACTTGGGCGCTTCATACCTCTGAGCCAAAAGTCCCATCTCATAACACACTCCCTAGGAAGCTCTGCGTCCCACGACACATTTTGCCGACAAGTATCTTGCAAAATTAATTTAGCTGGTAAAAAAACTGGAGCTATAAACCCAACTGGGTCGAATATAGAAGCTACATAACACAAGATGGTTCTCCTTGTAGGAGTCACATAGAATTAGCATACCCTGAGGATCTTATCGGTCCGAACATTCCATTGTAATCCCAGAGTGCTTTCATCTATTCTCATAGAAAAACAAATGTCTTCGTCTCTTAACATACAGTCATTCCTCTGGAATAAACTTCATTAATTCAACAATGCTGCTGACCAATTTCTACAGATTACAACTCACTAAACGTAACATTTCCATCATCTGAGAACATACAAACTTAGCTTCTGCCAACATATCAACACTAGTTAATAAATCATCAACACATAACTGTTCCTTCGCTGTCTGAATAATACATTTGGGAAAAATAGGCTCCTTATTTAGAAAACTTCTTTGTAGAGCAAATGTTGCGGAACTTGAGGTCAGGGTCTCACCAAACAAATATACTCATATTTCTCATGGTCTAATTATAGGGTCCAAACAAAGTCCACCCTAAAGGAGTTTTTATAGCATATGGTTCGTCAGAGAGAGAGAGAGAATCTGACGAACCATATGCTATAAAAACTCCTTTAGGGTGGACTTTGTTTGGACCCTATAATTAGACCATGAGAAATATGAGTATATTTGTTTGGTGAGACCCTGACCTCAAGTTCCGCAACATTTGCTCTACAAAGAAGTTTTCTAAATAAGGAGCCTATTTTTCCCAAATGTATTATTCAGACAGCGAAGGAACAGTTATGTGTTGATGATTTATTAACTAGTGTTGATATGTTGGCAGAAGCTAAGTTTGTATGTTCTCAGATGATGGAAATGTTACGTTTAGTGAGTTGTAATCTGTAGAAATTGGTCAGCAGCATTGTTGAATTAATGAATTTTATTCCAGAGGAATGACTGTATGTTAAGAGACGAAGACATTTGTTTTTCTATGAGAATAGATGAAAGCACTCTGGGATTACAATGGAATGTTCGGACCGATAAGATCCTCAGGGTATGCTAATTCTATGTGACTCCTACAAGGAGAACCATCTTGTGTTATGTAGCTTCTATATTCGACCCAGTTGGGTTTATAGCTCCAGTTTTTTTACCAGCTAAATTAATTTTGCAAGATACTTGTCGGCAAAATGTGTCGTGGGACGCAGAGCTTCCTAGGGAGTGTGTTATGAGATGGGACTTTTGGCTCAGAGGTATGAAGCGCCCAAGTGAATTATTACTTCGTAGATATTCCGTACCAGAATCGTACAAACCACTGGCTATTCAGATTCATTGCTTTGCCGATGCCTCAGAATTTGCATATGGTGTTCTGCTGTGTGCTCGTTTTGAAGATGCCTCCCGTCAAGTTGATTGTTCCTTTCTATTAGCTAAGTCCAGGGTTGTCCCACTGAAACTTATAACCATTCCTAGAATGGAATTAACCGCTGATGTACTGTGTCTGAAGATCAGAAAACGCGTGGAACAAAATCTGCGTATCCCGATCTCTTCTGTCACTTATTGGACGGATTCATTAATCGTACTTCATTGTATAAGAAATACAACCAAAAGATTTGAGAGATTCATAAGCAATAGATTAGCGACGATTCACGAACTGTCGACAGCAAGCCAATGGAGATATGTTAAACGTAAACAGAATCTTGTAGATTATGCTTCGCGTGGATTGTCGCTAGATGATAACACTAAACTAAATGAGTGGTTTCACGTACCGAACTTTTTATGGCAGAACGAAAGTGGATAGCCAAATTAACGCGAAAAGGAGAACCATGCTTCAGTCCATTTGTTTACAGAATAAATAGGCAAGACACCGGAGGGGAGTTATTTAGACCAATTTTTGGATCGATTTAGTAATTGTAAGACCTGGTCCAAAATACTGAGAATATTCGCTCTATGTATACGGTCAGTCCGCAATATGAGGATGAGATTACACAGAAGACAGTTAATTCTTGGTAGATTGAGATTGGAAGAAATTGATAGTGCGAAGTAGAATATAAATAAGTTGGTTCAAATGATCTCATTCCCCATAGAGATGGAAACACTAAAGCAAATACAGCATAAAGACGAGCACGGCAATACATGTGAATCTCAAGAAAGACCGAGGAGAGTAGGTGGATCTGTTTCGAATAAGGAGATGACACTCCATTTAATGTCTGCTGGTAAAAAAATGTGAAGTAGCGTTGCGCTTAGGAGCCCGATAAAGAATCTTAATTCCTTCGTAATAGATGACGTCATTCGAGTAGGGAGACGACTTCAATTATCGTGCTTGCCGTTCGAAAGTAAGCATCTGCTTATACTTCTTAGTAATCATTTTTTACCGACTTGATCGTAATACACTATCATCTGCAGAACGCACATTCTGGTATCACTCACACCCTGAACAGTTCGCGAAAAGTTCTGGATCATCAAGGTTCATGCTGCTATCGGAAGAATCGTGAAATGGTGCTTTATATGCAAGAGACTCAATAGTATTTCATGCACACAAATTTTTGGCTCCACTGCGCAAATATCGCCTGGAAGCTTACGTAACACCATTCAATTCTGTGGGTTAATACTATTTTGGGCCATTTCACGTCAAGAGGATGTGACTCGTTGAAAAACCATATGTCTGTTTTTCCACTTGTGTGTCTATCGAAGCATTTCACATCGAAATGGCTGTCACCTTGGAATACTGACTTATTTTTATGCGCTCTCTCGAAGTTGGTTGCTATTATGGGTCACTCAAAACATGTGTTTAACGACGTTTCGAACTTCAGAGGAGCCGTCGACAGTCTCAGACAAATTGTGTGTAGTTGGGACCAAAATAAGATTGCAAATGCCCGTGTGAATATGGTTGTGATTGGCAGTTTAACCCTCTGAGAGCTGATCGTCGAGGCGGTGTATGGGAACGCATCATGAAGTCAATAAAAAGAATTCTGCGATCACTACTGTTTCAGAAGGTATTGACAAACGAGTCTTTGGAGACTTTTTGAATAAAGGCTGAAGGAATACTGAATAATAGACCACTCGTATAGCTATTTAATGACTGGTAGTCTGGATGTACTTACGCCAAATAATGTATTGTTAGTTTACAGAGGTGTATCATTCGACGAAGTGCAGATCAGTAAAATGTGCTTATATAACAGGAGATGGAAGGAAGCGTAACAACTTGCTAACCTATTCTGGAACAGATTGTTACGGGAGTACCTACCAACCCTTCAGGCGAGATCCAATTTGTTGGATGTGAGAAGAAATCTATAACCGAAAGATTTAGTGCTAGTAAAGAATAATGGCTCATCGAGAAGTCTGTGTTCAAAAGCTATCGTTAGACAGGTCAATTATGGTCCAGATGGACGAGTCAGAACAGTTTGACTGAAGACAGCAACCGAAGAGATCAGCTGAGATATACCTAACCTGTGCTTATTGGAAGAGGCCGACTATTTAAGCGCGAGAGTAGCGAAGCCTGGACGTGGTATCCGCTTGCGGGTAATTTTAGTTGTGTCCATAACTAATCAGTCAAATCGTTGCTTAAGCTCCCACCACGTTAATCTGGTCTGATGTGTCTGTGAACTATCCCTGTTGCATGTGACCTACCGATTGAAAAACATTATTACCCTATTATATTAGTGTGACTCAATTTTTATTCATTTCGATAAGACGCAATACTGGTCGAAACTTTGTACGATTTAATTTGTCCTACAGATATACTACTAAAAATGTAAACGTGATAGTGGTGATTCCAGAGTATATGTGAAAGCTATAGTCAGAAAATATGTACACTCATTAGGTGTCCTTCATGGCTCAGCGCTATCCTTTATGCATTTTTCGAGGAGTATTCATAAATTTGTCCTAAAATTACGAACTGGTTTTTTACTTAGTGGTTCGTAATTCTAAAATATTTAGTTTCAACATTACGAAATGCATATTGACCAAGATCTGTGAAAGTTCCGTCACCGACACAAGGCCGAATACGATCACTTAAGTCATTCAGTTATCACATAATGTAATGAGCACAGTCAGAGCCTCGTTCAGTTGGTTCTGTTCTAATAAATTCACTAGTACCCTTGTAGATCAGAGTTTCAAGGCATGTATTAGCTCTAGAATTACTGCAGTTATCTATATAACGTTTACGATCTAAAGGACCATAGCTGGTTTAATGAGCCATTCACAGCTTCACCGTTTTAAGGTGTGTACTTGGACATGTGTGGCTTCGTCTCTGGGTCAAGCGTATGACTACTGGCGGGATCAACGACTTTCATTCACAATTATAAATATACCTTGAAAGAGGGTATCTTTACATTGGTTTTCAGGAGGACCGTATACTCTCCAGGTCTTTACACAACGACCTTAACAGCATATATATATATATATATATATATATATATATATATATATATATATATATAGTGTGATAACATATGCAAACACATAGGAATTAGCTTTTCATGTATATAAATAATTCCTGTTACAGTAATTATTTTATTGTTCCATAGGGAATCGATTTATCGATTTGTAATGAACGTTACAGTCGTTTAAGCCTAAGAGGTACGTTTTTATATTATTATTGTTTATTTATTTTATTTGAAAGTAATATGTATACCGTTATTCAGATCACTGTGTACACACATAATTCATGTTATCTGTTTAGGTGTGTCTCACTTGTTTGTGAAAATAAAGGTCACTTTCAGTTCTTTCCATCATATTGGAGACTAGTTTTATATCTCTAGTGGTGTATGTATATAGTCTCCGACTTTATTAGGTACATAGGTACACAAGATTAAACCGAAGGTGGGAATCATTTGATGTAATTCTTATATCAAACGGGCTAACGAAATAATTGATTCATTAATTGGAACCATGTAAAGCCTAATACAAGAATGCATCTAATCAAGGTGGTCACGGAAAGTCAACAGAAATAAATAAATAAATATGATAGAAAACCTAAAATAATTGAAGATAGATGTTAATAATTTATATGTTTGTCTGGTTACTATCAAAATTAAGCCCGTCCCAATCTCGATGTGTATGGTTTTTCAAACATATCTTAGATCGATAATTTATGACGTCATGTACTTCAACCCTCTTTAGGTTTCCTCCATTGTAATAATATTGAATTTCACATACAAGTAAACTGATTCAATTTGGTACGTTTAATATTAGTACAGAAAAAGAATAAGAAGCAAAAACACACGTAAGGAGATGCGAAAATGAATAAACGAAAAACGGACAAATGTGTAGTAATGAAGTATTCAAGGTTTAGTAGAATAGCTTTCTGATGCGGTGTAATAGAATGAAGATAGAAAAATACAATTAGTTTGGGTTACAAGAAGATGAATGGAAATATAATTCTATGAGGTTACTATACGCTGGCATATATTTTTATTCAGTGGCTCGAACTGTTGTTTGACATAAGTATAACAGAAACCGGTGGCGAGTCTTTTATACTTTTCTGTTATTCTTCAAAAAAATGGCATGCATCCAAGATAAATGAAATCTATCATCTCTTCCTTTCCTCCATCTAGTATTTTTTTATCTTTTCGTCATTTACGTTATTTATTTTGCTAGTTTCCTCTCGTCATTTAGTGTAATTGTTGAAACTTCATATATTGTATCAAAACATGATTATATTATAGTGGCTGGTACTATGTCAAGCCCTCATAGGCTATTCTAGCCTCTGGATAGAACAATCTATTCATTTCTTTCAAGCCACATTTTGACCCTGTCAATTATTTGCTGATTAACCCTGATTGTTATTATATGATCGTATGTGTTAATCACTTACCCTATTCATTATGTGTCTGTAACTTATATTTATTTGATTATAAATATCGAGTCACGCTTGATTGAAACGAGTTGGTTCACTCGCCTTCTCCACGGCGCATTATTTCTTTTCGCTTCGTTTCTCTGATCGTCTATCTGAATCAACGATTATATGAAATATACGTATTCAAAGTCCTTTCTCGTATTTGACTTATTCCGTTATTCACGAACGCGGTTTAAATCGATGATTATATACGAGGGTAGCTGAGAATATATATTCCGATTGCAATTATTTGTCAAGATAAAGGATCACTAAAATATACTTGACGATTTATATCATATTTTTGTCTTTTGCTGCACTTAATCTTTCGCAAACAAAACGTGATTTAACGGACCGTAATTCTCTCTTCGTAGCATATAATTCTTCCACGTTATGCACTAGAGATTTAAAATCTATCTGTTAACTTACATATTTTATTTTTTCTAACTGACTCTTATTCCTTTTCTTATTGTCTTACATTCCAGTACCCCATTAATCAATAAGCACTTTCAATAATGTATACATGCTCTTCACTTTCTGTTGTCTTTTGAAACCATATTCCCACTACTAAACTACATATTATTTGATCCTTAATTGATTTGTGAATGTCATCAATATTATCCACTGGTCCTTTGCTCAGGCTATCCCATTATCACATTTTCATAACTTTTTCTTTTGAATTGTTTCCATACCTGAATCATAGACCAATCCTAAGTTTGATAAGTTGCAGGATTATTTTTTCTATATGTATCTCTCTATGTATCACATTGATCTCAAAAAAGCGTACATGTTTATCTATACATATATTGATAGGTAGCTGCAAAATGTTTTCGTTTTTTAAACACTCAACATTAATGAAGAAATAGGTAAGGCTTACCATTAAGATTTTTTTTTCATGAATCAGAATGTAATTATGTACTAATGTAGATACACTTCATATACATTATATTAACAAAGACATCTATAATATGGATTACACTCAAGTTATATTGCATACGTAGTTGTGTGATAGTATAAAATCTTACTTTTTAAAACTGCCCTTCTTTCAACAAAGAAATAATTTAAAAACGGGGATCTTTAAACTACTAAAAAAAAATAATTGTCAGATTAAATAAAAGAACTATAGTAATAAAGTTATAAAAATGATATCCACTAGTCACCTTTGATCATCTAACTTATTTTCGTTAGATGAGTGAATTTTTGATGATGAATTAAAGTGACCGCAAGCAATAGTGCAACGTTTATGCAAACGAAAGAAACAGAAAAGGTTATTATCCCTAAAAACGACAGATATCATATCTTTCATAGGTTTTCCTTACGAATAAAAAAATGTAAAAAATAAGAAAATCATACTATAAGATGAAAAGGTCTTTGCAACCGGATTCAGTTCGTTTTCTACTGAAATCTATTGTCTAACTCCTAGGTTAAAGTGAACATCAATATTAATCCAATTATATTTCCATTTTCGTTAGAGGAAAATTTGTTTATGGAGTGGTAACGAAAAGGAACCGCTCACTATTCATACAACTCGAACGGAATCCGCGTTTGTCCTGTTCGCCATCGATTCCCTCCTCTGATTTTCAATTTTTCTACTAACATAATAATAATTATTAATCTTTCCTTAAGAGCATAGCATAATTCACACTCCAGTTTCATTTGATCTTTTCGAAGTACATTCACATTTAATTCATATTGATTTACATCTCTCGGTTGTTGATGTTGACTGTAATTGATCAGCTTGTTTTGGGTAATATGTTCATTTTAAGTGGATAACCTGGATATTTAGTTTAAGTGGAATGCAGGTGCATCTATCTGATGAGTACCAAATAGGACGAAACCACATCTGGATCCCACTACCAGCTAATGTTCATCTTTACTAATACATGTACATTTAGTTCGCCACTTACACTGATCACGTAATTTTGACATTTTTGTTTTCAGTTTTGTTAATGTGCTCTCGCTTCGGTGATGTAAAGTGCGATCTCTTGAATAAATATAGATTTAGCCTAGGTTCACCCTTTTTGATAATATTTAGACTCAGCAGATTATATTGTAATCATTCATTTCGCAAGAGAACCAATCGAAAACTAACTCTCCTCTTAAAGCACACACATCAGGCTCTGATAATACTTTTATACTGACACACTTTCCTCCGTATCTTCCCGAACAACGGAAAGATATCTCAGAGTACAACTTGGAGGTGAAAGTATAAAAAATGTATTAAAGAACATCTTAAAGAGGGTATTTGTTCCCATTAGTCGAGAGATTCTATTTATATATTTATTCGACTTGTAGTTTCGTTTTACTTCTATTCTAGGTATTCGATTGAATCGATTTCATATTGAATCAATGGAGGCAATATTTCAGCGTGCACATTTTAGAGTAATTGATCTAGAAAATACATTTTTAGACGAACAGGTGACTTCATATCATTTGCTAGTTATATTCAGTTTTATTAAGAATTTCTATATTTATTTCTTTATTTATATTTAAATTTATGTATTGCTTTATTTGGGATACACACTAATTCATAAACACAGTACCACTTAAATCACCAATCTACTGATTAGTAGAGAAATAAGGTGATGTGACATATGAACGTAAGATGTTAGTCCTTTGCCAATTAAAATATGTAAAATAAGAAATATGTAAAAGAATGTGTTTTTATGTTTGCAATACGTTTCACCAAAATATCGAAATAATGGTCAACAAAACAGTTCCCTACAAATATGCATTAGGTTAAACTAGCGCTTTCACAGTCAGTGATTGGGACTTCTATGGTGCTCAACGAATTCAAATTTGAAATGTAGTTCATCTGGTTTTTAGTTAACTCGCAAAGCGAATTCTGTCGAGATAACCTCTTCAAGGTGTCGGGAAACTTCTCTCCAGTATTGGGAAACTTTAGTAACTTATCAATAAACGTCCAAGCTAAGATGTGTTTCAGACCAAATTTTTCGGCTAGTATTTCGAGGGCTTTACAGCAGCCAACTTCCGACTTCAGTAAGACCCAGCGTATTATGGCTGCCCTAGCTTCGTCACCACACTGAATAACATAATTTAGCTTCTTTCCAAGTACGATATATTGTCATTAGTGACGCACTTCAAAACTACTCATAAAATTCCAGCACTTTTCAGAGTCGCCCTGGAATTCCATAATTTCTCTCCTCGGAAACTTCGAAATTTTCAATATAATGCTCTAATTTTTATTTATTTATTTAAACACATAAATATTGGTACAAGGAAGCACCAGATATATATGCGCCGCACAAATCTCATTCGATTTGTGTGAGGGCTGTGAAACTGCCCAGATGCCCAAACTGAAGCAGGTGATTTTCTTAGGGGCCCACACCCGGAGCCTTTGACCTAAAGCTCTGATCCACAAGGCAGTGGAGCATCGTAAGGAGATTCAATCCCATGGTAGCTGGTGACCAACGATTGATTCATACGCCATTTGTTCTCTCAGGGTACTGGAGCCCATGTGCACCATTGGTTGGGAATCAGGGTTTTTCAACTCCTTTAGGTGGACTTTCCGTGTCCACCGACCCGGTTAAAGCACTAGGCATTCGCTTTTCGTCCGCTTAATTTCGTAAACAACACCCGTGGTGCGAGAAGTCAGTGAATAGGACTTTCCTGGCAGAGGCTATGTACGCGTGACCATGTGAGAGCATTTGAAGAGGGAGAGCGGACTCTTTCCACTCTCGGTCGTACCAGGACATTTGGGGGCAATATAATACTCACTAGATCGATACCAGGATAGCTGCTAACTCATGGTGAAGCTGATTTGATTTTGCAGCTTGTTTCCTTGTTGAATATTTGTTGACAAGATTTTTCGGTTTTTAGCTCAACTTTTTCAACTCAATTTCCTCCCCAAACCAAGTCATAATTAACTTTTTAAATTCCAAATCTACCATAGAATCGAAGAGAACAAGAACAAAGAATTGAGCAGAATAACATAAATTCATTTTATTTCGTTAGGTTGTCATCGACTACTTACAACCTATAATACTTAAAAATTAGAATTGTCATAAAGTCTATGTACTTATAGCAGTAAAATCAGATATGTATCATCATGTTGGAGTAGTGAGATTGAAAACATAAAGTTTGTTGTAAATAAATATAATATTACGATTAGGGAATTAATTTTATAGCCGTTCCTGGTCGTTACTATGAGTCTGTGAACGATGCATGAACAGTCCCGAAAATTCTTCAGTATCACAGCACTTATTAGGATGCATTTCAGCAATATGCATAGTGATTAGTCAATGATAAATGATGTACTGTGCTAACTTTTGTAAGATTTAATTACATACAGATAACGTTTTTCAAGCCGAATAGCTTGCTTGTTAAAAAGAAATAATGTAATCTATTTATTAAGCCCAGTTTTATTTACTCAGCTTTAAGTCACATTGTTTATGTATTAACATAACCGATATGTCCAAGTGGAAGTAGGTAACGTGGGGTTTGAACTCGTGACTTGTTAAAAGCGAATTGCTGTCTCTCCGATGTATCACAGTTTGCCAATTTGAAATCTAATTTTTTTACTTGTCAAATTATCCGTTAATAAACGTTTTATTCTTTAAAAAAACGTATCATGTAACTAAGGGCTTGTGATTTATGTGTGGAAAATCCGTGTATTTATCGTCCACATAATTGTTCTTAGAAATGATTTAATTATGCTTGGATGAACACATCGTACTTCGGACTACTGGAAAATCATCTAATTATTCTTCGACAAAATTATTGATAAACACTGATTTAAAGTTATAGAAGAGAATATTACTATTTGTTTTATATATTTTTATTTTATTTGTTTATGTAACTTGTTTCAACCTGTGTATGGAAATATACGTGCGTGTTCTTCAAGTTATGCACGTCTGTCAGTGGCTGATAATAATTAAATTAATTAATAATTAATTTAATTAACTCAATGTATCATTGCATAGAAATAAACAGAATTCAGCTAAGAAAATTTTCTTTTCTATGAAATCATTTACTTAAGCTGTGCATTCGTACCTATAGTTGTATGGTAAATATATGTCTCTAGAAGGATAGAAAAGATTGCATCATGAAATGATTTGAGACTCCAAATATCAAATGGGGTTGCTTAATAATCAGGAGGTTAGAAAAGAATAGAATGATGAAAATAATTTGCAGGTCAGAATTATGAAAGACAATTGTCCTCTCGAACAGATGTGATGAAAAAATGAAGAACATAAAGATCATAATAATAGCTGAAGAATCATGGAAAATTGTTAAAGGATGGTAATAACTAATTACAGTTTATAATTACAAAGCACTAATGAAAAACATACTACAGAAGGGAATTAAAACCAAGGAAGGATGAGAAGTTGGACGTATCCTTCTATAGACATATATTTACTACTAAACAACTATAAATACGGATGTACAGCCTAAGCACATGATTTCGTCGAAAAGAGAATTTTCTTTGCTTAATTCTCTTTATTTTAACTTGTTTATATTAATGACCACCACGTTTCTTTTTTTTCAATCATTATTTTCATTCTAGTCTGCTTCGTCACTGTTTGATATGTTGCTGCATTATGAAAGTTGTACAGATCTGAGTATAAGTTTAAATCTAAACAAAACTCTTCCTAGTCAAGCTTGGAGTCGTTGTGTTAATTTCATGCGAAAAGTACGTGTCTCATTAACTATGTGAAAAGATTAAGTTTCCTCTTCAACTCAGTAAATGTGATTTTATTTTTCTACATTATCGATTGTTTACAGTACAACCAAAAGGTAACCGAGTAAAAGCTTGTGAGTGTCTTAACTACAGTTTTATGTCCAAATGAACTGAGTATTCAGTGGACTGGATTATATTTGTTAATAGATTAAAAATTGATGATGGTTAACTTGTTCATTGTTACCTAATTAGCTTTCATGGAATTTTACCATAATTTTACGTTCAAGTGTTTTATTCTTGCATAGCATGATAAATTAAGCGATATTTCTTTTATTAAAAACTTTTAAATTCACATTGTATAGTTTAATATAGTTGTTGTGATAAGAACTTACTCTACTTTTCAATTGGTTCTCATGCAGTCATGGTTATGTAAATTCTTCCAGAAAGATTACACTACAGAGGTGTTTTTATAAAATTGGGTAGGTGAAAGCAAACTTTCAGCATTTAAAGTGGGATGTTAGATACGGTCAGATCACCGAGAGTAGAATAATGTTGATTACAACCTAGTGATGTACATCAGCTGTAGAATCTTCAGGAAACAAATAACGTACGGACTCATTGAAATTACTCTAAATCATATCACTTCACCTCCTGACATTATTTCACTGCAAATGAGGAAAATCAATATTTCTCTCGATATTAAACTTGACACTGTTTAGTATTATTGTGTTATTTTTCTTACTTCAATCGGCATTTTGTGAATAGTTACAATTCAGAATTATCTGTGTTGGTGAGATATTGGTCAGATTCATATTATAATTGGTTAGTCACTGAGTAGTAATGACCGATTTCATATTTGTCCCAATGATTTAGTTCTAATCAAATTCTGTTGACCGAATTCCAATATGGCCACTAGCGTAGGTGACCGAACATCGTGTGTATTGTAATTTATCTTTACTACCTCCAACAATCTAACAGTTCGTATCATCTTTCAGAGAGCAAAAACAGAGATTTGAGCAGAATAACATCAATTCATTTTATTTCGTCTTATCCTCGTTAGTTGCTTATAACATGTAATATTTGAAAATAATAATTACAAAATAGGTTCCAGTCACTTATATTCTCATTCACTACGTAACTACTTGTTTCTAGACCTTTGGACTTTCGTTACTATCAATGTTGTAGAATGTTCTCTTACAGGTATACAATTACAATATTTTACTTAGTCTATGATATTTATTTACGTCCATGCTATACTATACTGATATGTGATCCTATCAACTTCTAACTTAACTCTGTCATGTAAGCAATTTGACCTCATATTGTAATTATGATTTGTAAATATTATAGGTTTTAAGTAGCTGATGAGAACACAAAGAAATGCATTGAATTCATCTTATTCTGCTCAAATCTTTTTTCTTACACTCTTCAAGATGATAAAGGGAACTATGTGTATTGAAATTCGTAATATTGTTTTCGATCCGTATTTTAATATTTTAATTGTTTTTCTAACCTTTACTCTAAATTACCCTCATATATATAATTGTTAAAAATTTATGAAGGTACCAAGTTCATTTCTTTGTTTTATATTGATTTTTATTCATAGTCATCTGCTCTACGTCGATTCACATTGAGTCATACGCCATTACGTCTAGAAAATTTTCATGGTCTAAATTTCTATGGTTTATGCTTGGAACGTTTAAATTTTATTGATTGTAATTTAACTGGTCAAGCATTATATGGACTTATGCAATGGTTGTATATCCTTTTGAGTTCAACAAGTTTATATCCACCAACACGAGACAGATCATATAATTCAAGTAGAGGACATAAATTTCGTGGTTGGAGACATCGTAGACACACTTATACTACTTCAGCATTATTATTATCAAATACAAGTACCACCAACGCCACTAATAATAATACTAAACCTTCTATTTGGGAATTAAGACTGGGTTTAATGAATAACAAATTGACTTCTTCAGATGTTGAAGCAATACTACCACTAATTCGTCATCAATTATTCATCCCAAATATTTCGGGGTCTGAAACTGTCAAATTTGAAGGTCATAAGAACAGCAATAACAGTAATAGTAATAATGATACTAATGAAAGCAGTTCATCAGATGCCCTTGTAAACAATAGTTCACATATAAAATCTACACAACTAAAAAAATCCAACTCATTGTCGTCATCATTGTGTGATTTTCTTCCAATTGGAGGGATTGGTTATTTATTGGAGTTAAATTTGTCTCATAATAATATTGGTGTAAGTTGTTCCTTTAGTGCACTTAAAAACCATACTTTTGTTGTTTTGTTTATACATTCAAAAGGGGGAATGTTAATTGGTTAGTTCAGGGTTTTTTGTTGATTGATAATTTACGGCATCTGTTGTTTCAATCGACACAATTGTAAATAATTTTTATTTGCTACATTTTAAGATAGAATAATGAAAAATTGACAAGAACAATAAGATATGCAGAAAATTTAAAAGTAAATATTAGTGGATGTTGAATGTGAATTAGACGATACTAGAATAGAGATTTTAATCTTTACTTGTGTCTTCGAACTTATCTTACTGTATATTATTGGTCTTGTTTGTAAAATCGTTTTATTGCAAAGTATAGGTCTCATAAACAGGTTCATATTAAAGAGTTTCTTTTGTTTGAGTTTTTTGTCTATATTTTTTAAATGTAAATAAATACCTAAAGCATAAATATTAAACCATTTGACTCAGAGGAATAATACGAAAACATGTGATGTATACTTGAATTTTTATTTCAAATTTGCGAATACATCCACAGTTAAGCCTTTCAGCTTAGCCTCCAAATCTGTCCAACACAATTTTATGGTCTACTTGCGTCAATAATGAGTAATAATGGATAGTAATTTGGACAATGTTTGGATTGGAATCACTGATCTGTAGATTGCTCATATGCTACTGGATAACTCATAAACAGTTCTCACTGTTGTATCTGTATTATATTTAAAGAGTATATCTTCTATATGTAGGCTCTAATATTCTTAACGACTAACAGGGCATATTTTTTTCCTCGCTAAATATAGCGACGGAATACAGAGTCTTACGAAAGCCTGTGATGATAATTTAAAAAACTTCTGGACAATTCCGGCGCGGTATTATTTCACAATCTTCTTCGTATTACTTTATGACTGTAAATTATAACCTTTGAAAATATAAGATTAGATGTTAATATTTAACCTTAAACGTCTTTTATGGGCTACTAGTGTATGAGAAAAAACCACTGAGTTATTAGTGCACAGCTGTAATTGCGAAACTCTAATTAGATATAAAGGTTTATGCTTTCATCAGATTAGGTTTCTGAAACACATATTGCATATACCTGGTTTTACCTTGGGAAATTTTACTGGCTAATCTAGGAGTAGGCTGTTAAATGACTAAAGGCATCTTAATGAAGACTTAAGATTATTACTGTGTACCATATTAGGCGCTGGGATCTTTATGTTTAGATCCCGTAAGATTATTGTTAAATAGGATTAGAGATCTTATATGAAAGGCAAACAATGTATTAAAGATAGTAAAGTAATAATATTAATTGAATGAATTTTAAATGTTCATAGGAAATAAATTATATAGGATAAAAATATATGTGAAGAACAAAAACAGAATCGTTCATAGAAATACAAGAATATTAAAAAAAAGATTGGAGTCATAGTAACCAAATCAATTGTAAAAAGTGTTTTTGTACACACTGATCTAGGGTTCTATTGTGTATAGTTAATTATTTTTCTATTAAAAACAAAAAAGGTAAAAGATTTATTCGTCCATCTGTCGGTAGATTGTGTTTATTCCTATGAATTCGATGTTCAATCATATGTTTTAAAATAGAAGATTGAATAATTCAACGTTGAAGTTCTACTGTGACATGCTATTAAATGATCTCTAATATGTCGAAAAAATATTCCTCAATTACTTTTCTAATAATCACATGTTAATTCCATTCTTGATTAAAAATAGTTTCTTAATTTTTATTATTTCTATGTTCATAGGATGATGGTTTAGGTATATTGTGTACTGGACTGCTTCAATCTTATCGAAATCGTTTACGTGAACGTTTCTCTACGTTGGATGATCAAGAAGTTCTTAAACTAACCGCTATGTCATCACCACCATCAACAGAAAAAAAATCCGATTCAAATTCTAATCCCTGTTGTACACCATCAATATCAATGAAAATTTGCAGCTTAGAACGTCTTTATCTTGTAGACAATAATTTAGGCATAGATGGTATGCAATCATTGGCTATTGTATTAATGCAAACACCAAAATCATTGATTTCTTTGGTTGGCGGTCTAATTATTTTAGATTTAAGTAATAATGTAAATATTGGCGATAAAGGTGTTGAAGTATTATGTGAAGGTTTAATTAGAAATTATAGTTTAAAAGAATTATATCTCCGCTCCATTAATATGTCTTTTTCGGGTAAGTTAATGTTGTGTGTATTGTCGCTTCTAATTGTAATATTTTTCCATTTAAATAAATTTTAAACGTAACTAATTAACAGTGTAGTTGGATTTTGTTTTAGATATTATTGTGTATCATGTGCGAAGATATACACTTCTTGACCACTTGAATCAGTAGTTCGTATTTACTTGCTAATCAACATTGAATATTAAATGAATAAATTATTGGATTATAGCTATATGTAAAATTTCAACTTTTATAGCGAAGTTATTATTATTTTTCATCACCAACTGTAACTGAAGAAGTTCTTGTTTTTACTTTTGTATGCTAGTTGGCTTTTCTCTGTGGTTGTCTAGATTGAAGTTAGGGGAAAAGAAGATTGAACCTGTGTAACACTGTGTTAATAGCCTAGAAGTTAAACTACTGAACCATGATTCCACAGTTTGATGTCTGTTAGTAATATAATCATGGAAACTAATCTGTGGGTCGGTATATGAGATTGATATTGAGTATTCACTATTTTGTAAAACTTGAAACCAAAATGAAGTATCTCTTTGATGCTTCCTACTTTATTATACTCTATTTTCAATGTATCTTTTGATGGTGAATAAGGAGATGAAGTATACAGGCATTTTTGTCACAACGGAAAAATACGGTTTCCAATTCCTCTTACATTTGATATTGACCCTAGATACTCGACAATAGGTCACTGGATAAATTACCATATTTGACCACGTGATACACTAGACCTGTATTTAATGTAGCCAGATATGTCTGTCTTTGCTCATTAGCCAATCGTGACCTACTTTAACCGATGTGTCAGCCTTATATGAATCAATTCTACTTCAATAAAAATAAACATTGACCATTCTCTTAATCTACTTGACTGTATAAACACTGATGGTGTGGTTTCAAAGTAAACGACTTGTATTCTGAAACAATGAAAAATATTACTTTTTGCCTATAAGTTGATACATTTCTTTATTATAAGCAGAGTTCCCTTTTTTACTGCTGAATACATGGTTATTGAATGTACGCGAAGTTGAAGATAGCAGCTTAATTTCCATATAATACGATCATTGAGAATACATTGTTTGAATTAGATGTCGCACTGTTGGTAAAAAGAGGTAAATGGTGATGGAATCGTTTTGAACTTGCACTAATTAGACTGATCAGTAAAATTTAAACAGACTTATCTTCGGAATAACGAAGTGTGCATATCAAGCATATTGCTAAATTTGTCGACTTTTATTCTGATCTATTTAACTGAGCGCGGGTGGTTAAAAAATTCCTTAACACAACAGCCTAAAACTATCCTTAAGATGAGGTTACATTTATTTTATTATTTCTGTGCAAAATATCTAACATCTTATTACACTGATTTTTATTTGTTATCAGTCCTTTACTATTCTTTTCATCATCAACCGAAGATGATGTTATGAACTGATACACCAGTATAATTTTTTTAAACACTGTTTTGTAATATCACTTAATAATTTAGTACTGGACTGTGTTCCTGGCCTTTAGTTGTGCATTTGTATGAAGGCTAGACACACTACCCATTCTCTTAAACCATAATATATGAAGGGGTCTTTGAACCTGCAACCCAATGGTTAAACGTTGAATAATTTAACAATTTATTTACCGTACTGTTTACCCATCCTGTATCCTGATTTGTTAATTTCTCAAAAACAGGTCCGAATAATGACCTGTTTTTTGATTGATCGCACATAATATTCGTGTTGTTCCGTTGTGCTATTTAAACTTGGATTAATGTTAATTCGGTTATTTATTCTCCGAAGAAATGGCTTACATTAAGTCACGAAACGTCAGCAAATCTCATTTTTCTACTCATAGAGATATTACAAATATATTATTCACTTACAACAATCTACCCAATGTTCAATTTATTCAAAATTATCAAATCTAAACTTGGTAATAATATCTACTTATTGAAACTGTTATTTATCGATTGAATGATTGCATTTCGTGAACAAAACCTAGTTTCGGTTCAATCTCTTGTCCTTCACTGGTATTGTACTGTAATATTTACTATAAAGACCAGTGATTTTATTTAAATACTCATTTCCCAAATATTGGTTTCCAGTTTTGGGGTATGTGCTGCATCACCAACATACAGGCAATTAAAGTATACAGCTCGAACTAAACTGCGTAAATTCGCACTTCGTAAACAGTTCATATTTGTATTTAAATTCTGCCTACACGAAATGAGAACCATAGTGTCAAGATTCCAAAAAGAATCTGCTAATAATCCATAAATAAATTTATAGCGTTCAATTAACATAGTTTGCTAATTTTTAATACATCTTTATGCATATATCTTACAGTCAGTACAACGTTGACTGTTGAGTAAGTGTTTGTCAATGAAGATAATTATAAGACACATACATATTGTGCAGAAATTTTAATTTCATTGTTTTAAAAATAATTTTCCTAAAAAAATATAATGTGACAACTTAGAAGTCACTGGAAACAAGGGAGGCAGTGTTTCATTCTACTATATAAATCTGTACGGTACTAGTAAAAATATGAATTTGTACCTAAAATCTGCATAGATTACAGCAAACCTGATACCTCTGGAGCACTTCATCCTTGAAAAGTGGGAGAACTAATCATCATCAGCCATACTAAAGCTACAAACAACGAGCTATGACAAGCGGTTATTTTTTTTGTTGGGAGGAGGGCACGACCAGGTGGATTGATATTTACATAATCAGAGGGGGTTTTGTGGAGAATTTAGTATTTTCACAGTTGAAATCATGAGTCAATTGAAGCTAGACCACCATCGAAAACCTGGAAGCACTGGACCGCCGTTTCGTCCTATTATGGGACTCCTCAGCAGTGCGCATCCAGGAACCCGCTCTCGCGTACATACATTTCCATTTTATGATTTTCTCGTGTAATTAGTTTTGTATTAAAGTCTATATAACATGAATATAACATCATTTAGCTTAATTATTTTCATATATTCTATATATAGAGGTCGCTTATTAAAATGATCATACGATACTAATCAGATAAAACTACCAAATGACATAGTTTAAATAAGTTATTAACTATTAATTTACTTATGATTTATGACAAAATAAATTAAAACATTTCGTCTATTGTTTAGTTGATATCAGATTGTCACGAAAGAATCTGTCCTGAAACATTGGATAGTATATTATATTACAATGTATTACCCAGATATTATCGTGCTTACGAATAATAATTTTTCGTGAAATACAATTGATTGTTTTCAGTTGCAAGTGTAGTTTATTTTAATGGATGGAAGCGTTTCTCGGATGGAACCACTTATTTAACAATTAAAATTCAGCGTCATTATTTTATGCAAATAGTGAGTAGTTTTTTAGTCAGTTGGATGCAAGGCTTAATCGAATAGATTATTAGAGAGATTTTTCTGCATACTGCTACATTGTTTTCTTGAGACTTTTGATATATAACTTACACTCTATGGTGTTCCTAATCGATTTTTTCCCTTTTTACTTTAATAAAAACACTAGGAATTTTCGCTTTATCCAGTTTTCTCAGTGAATCAAAGTGTCTAAAGTATTTGGATATACGCAACAATAATTTAGATATAGCCTCTATAATGGCCTTATCAAAAACTTTATTCATTAATAGAACATTAACAAGTCTGGTTTCAGACGCACATCGTTGGGCGAACTCTCAGCTGGATCTATCCGATGTAGGTCCAAGTTAATGGTATATATATATATATATATATATATATATATATATATATATATATACTCGTCGAGACATAAGAGAGATTGATTCAGTCAACAGTCCTCTTTTCGGCGAATTCAGATAGATAAAGAATCATATTTCGAACAAGAAGGGTCAGAGTGATAAAATGTTTAAATTGAGATGAACTGCAGTCGGGTGGATCGTGGAAACAGAAACAAATCAATTGAAACTAAAAGGTCTATAACAAGGAAGATAGAAGAAAAGTAGATTGCTGTGAAAGAAGAGGAAAACATTACGAGAGCTTAAGACCATGGTAGAAGATGAGGTTGTACAAGTTTTTTTAGTATATAAAATTGTAGTTTTTCCAGTTGTATTGTTAGTGCTCGATGATGCTAAGAAGATGGAATATAACTGCTTTTGATAGCTCTCTAATTACCTTGTTGATGACTTTGAAAGCAGAATCCGTATTGATCGGATGACCTGTGTGTCCACAAAGTGTTCAGTCATTGAGCTCTATTTGTTGTACCTCACTGCTACAATGTTTAGCAAGATTTTACTATCACTATCATTGTAAATATTACCATTTCAAAAAAATGAGTAAATATTAGCGCTTGCATAGCTTTGAAAATGAATTCGTCGAGAAGTGAACTGTTCACTTAACCAATCTTTCTTGTTTTACACACATATATTTGTTTAAAATGTTTTTTATCGCGCATTGTGTTGCATTACTTTATCCTTTTGTCTTGAGGTGGTATCGATGTAGTACATGGATATATTTGTCTCTTTTTAGGAATGAATTCAGTGTATTTGAATTTCTTGGTTTAGTATATTGAATTGTTTGTAGATCATTTTACAGAGTATAATTTACCAAGTTTTAATCAACGTATAACATAACATGTTTATACCATTATTGTGGGAAATTCTCTTCGAGCTTAAATACTCAGAATACTTTAAATTTTTAATATCTCACGTACTTTAAATAATGTCACTTTTAATGAAGTGGTTTTTCTAAAAGTTACTGAGATGTCCCTCATACTGAAACTGTAGATTTATTTATACTCCTAAGTTATTAGAATTTTTGATCATAGATGCGAATCTTCATCGACTGAGATGGTTGGGCTACGTATTACGCATGCCAAACCACCGATGAACATGACGCACATTTTGACTAATATTGAATACGGGTGGAAGAAAGTTAGGGACAGCCAAACCAAAACGAATGTTTTTCATTTGTTTACTCATGGATATGGATATTTTAACACTATATTTGTTACAGATTGACATCAGTTTGGATACTATCAAAAATCAGGGAGCACTAGACAGTTGTTTTATACCAGTATGAAACTCCTGAGCACTGTGCACTCACAACCTTACCAATGATAGTGTAGTGAACAGAACACTAGTTGGGGACAATCGAATGTATTTTAGCAAACATTACAGACTATCTCGGTAAATTCTGATAACCAAACAATGAACAGTCAATTTGCAAATTAACAACCATTTGTTTCAATCTTCACTGTTTCTTCTCTAATTCCATTGCTCATGCATTTTCCAAACGATTGCGCTTCATTTCAGTTCTTTCGTCATCGGTCTTCTGCGAAAATACATTCTATGTCTGACCCACACCATATACTACTTATATAGATATAAGTAGACAACACCACAATAGGACCTGAGATCTATCAAGGTCTCTAACTGTACTACTACCCACTTGAATATTGATTTAGGATTTACTGAATTATGCGACAATTATTGAATGAGACTGGTGGCGATTTTTTTATGTGTATCATAGGTGAATTTCTCTAGTCACAAATTTTATGCAAGTCAAAGTTGAAGGTTATTTGTGTACCAAATTACTTCTTCATTGGTCAACTTAAGACCTTGATATAACCTATGCTTTTTGAGAAAGTATGTAAAATTAATGTTATCTGAATGAGTCTACAACTATTTACTAAGATAACTGTTTAAAATCGTTACGTTGTATCTAGTATCGAAAATTATTCTTGACAAATGAATATTTAAATGTTTGCTATATTTACTGTGGAAAATGAAAGCCGAGTTCCACTTCCTATCGTTTGTGATTACCATCATTTCTATTAGGCGGTAACTAATCTTTATGAAGGCTAAGTAGTCCCCATACGACCTGAGGTTCCTTAACTCGATTTCATGTAGAGTCGTGCATCCACATTGCTTTTAAAAATTAAACAACTGTCTAGTGCTTCCTAGTTTTCAATGGTTTTCTAACTGTCATTTTAATGATATGAACTATGAAATTCAGCAATCTTCACATATTCTTACAGTATTAATTTTGTTTATTTATTTTTTGTGCTGTTTACAGAAGGATAAAGATTTAATTAAATCTCTCATTGAAAGCATCGATTCAAATCTTAGAAGAAATCGTTTAGAAACAGAGGTAGTTGATAATATTAATAATAATGTCTCAAATAATAATTGTGATACAATCACACCAACTGTTGTTGTCAACGAAGAGGATTCGCTTGGACAATCTGAATTAATGAATATCAGCTCAGTGATACAGTGTAATGATAATTCATTAACTAATTGTAGTATAATGAATGGTGAGATGTCATTGGACATAACAAATTGTACATCGGATACATCGGTGATGCGAAGTTATGAATGTAATAATATTAATGATGATTGTGGTCCTGATAATAATAGTAATACTGATCTCCAGTTAGATAATTTGTTAAAGACAACAACTAAACAACTCGATATTGATAGTAACGTCGAGGTTTTGGGTAATTTTAACTGTACAACAATCTCTACTAATCCTGTTCATGAGGTATCCACCGCATATCTATCGGATAATGAATCATTTAATAAAGACGATAAATTTATCAATAGTAATACTAATGAGAATTATGCAATAATGGAAAAACGAAGTAAAGAAGAAGAGAAAACAACAATAATGGTAGTAGAACAACAACAACAACCTTTACTTCAACATATATCCGATTCATTTATGTCTATCGAAAGTCTCTCTTCTTGTTCATCTAATTTATTTCAAAATGTAAATATACCATCTATCAAGGATGATAAGTCATTGAATTATGATACCGAATCAGATCCAATTCAGTCATCTGTAAATGTATTTGACAAGTCAAATTCACTGAATACAATAAGACAAAATAATCATATAAATAATGACACAATCAGTAATTGAATATAATAAAACATAGACCGAAGAAATCTGAATGAATTCCCCACCTTAATAATATATGCCTTCATCAGCAAACCTGTCAAAAATCAATACTAATGGTTTTTGACATAACAGTAATAATTGTAGTATGATTTTGTTATTCAATATTTTTCCGTTAATCTTTACTTGAAAAACAAAATTAATAACTGTGATTTTCTTTCTCTGGTAAGTTATTGTTAAAAGGTCATTGAGTTTTTTTGTTTTTATGCTCATTGTTAATTATGAACTGATTTTCCAGAGATCTACCAGGATCATTTTTAGTTTAAACCAGACTAGTGAATTGGTTAATACAGTGAATAGTTTCGCTTATTTTTGTATGATATCATTAAAATTAATTCTTTTATGTAGGTATCTTTCATCATTTATGTTACTGGGTAGATACATCAATGCTCATCCCAGTTTACATATGCAATTAAATGTCCATTCTCTCCTACTCTATTCGTCCTCGGAAATAGTCGCTGACATTGTATTACATCATAAAATGGAATATATTTTTTGAGATTCAACATGAATTTCTTAGAGACTGATGTTTTCTTTAGGTTATACTGTTATCAACCAATACTGTTTGTGATAGTCACTTTGATGATTAATCGCTCTCTCATTGTGTCTTATTTTATCTCAATTAAGATAGAGATGATAAAAATTTTTGAGAAATTAATATAATGGCGTTATTTGTTGAATCATAAATCACGAAAAATTTATCTAAAACGGATGGATAATCATAATAAACTAAGATCTGGTTGACATTGAAATATAATAGGTAAAGAGCCCAGATGTTACTTAAAGGCCACTAATTCAAGTCTTTCAAATTTCAGTCATCATTTATAAATCTACACAATGTTACATGTTATCAGCTCATATACGATATAAAGGACAAATAACGGTAGATTCTTCGTGAAATTATTCAACTCTTTGGCTCATACGAATGATAGTAAAAGTAGTAGCTTCTTGGTTAAGGTTGAATAACTGTAATGTTGAGTTGTTTTGTATTTATTTATATGGTCAGAGCCTGCTTTTTGGTTTCCAGTAATATATTTATTCCAATAGGTATGGAAAAACCAATGTATTTTATGGCTGTACTTTCTTGTATATTAAACATAGCAAGTAAACTCTTGTTTTCACAAAAGTATTGCTCAATCTATCTACATGTACATAATCCATTTGTGACTTCATTGTGTTCTATAAATTACTTTAAAACTGTAGGTAACAGTTTTGTCATAGATAATATCTAGAATCATATTAGCTAAGGCTTTTATGTAGAGAAGGTTGGTAATTTGATATTTATCCTATAAGTGAATCCGTATCTTTTTCCCTTCATTAGGTATTGAAAAGAGCTTAAGAATTGTGTTCTATACTAATGTAGCGTCAGTCAGTCACAACGTAGGACCAGGCACATTTATGCATCGGTCCAAGTTGCCATACCTTGTTAGCACAACAAGATGAATATCAGATTCATATAAATAGTTAATTTAGTGATGGTAGTATATAACATATAGGTTGTATATAAAGATATAGTATAGGAAGGAAGAACGTTATGAAGCAATTTTAATGTTGAGGTTTAAGGGAACATAAACAATGTATACACTTACGCCATTGTGATCGATTCTGAGCCATGTCATCCAGAGTCTCCAACCATTGGTTACAATAATCACGCGGAGCCCAACCAGGTAGTCTGCATCTGCCAACATGGCTCAGACTAGAAGTTAGTGACTTCAAGCACTGATGCCATGTTTTGGTTTGGCCGCCCCTAACTCTCTTCCAACCATCTCCTACACTAGTCAGCATAGTGCGTCGTGGTAATCGGTGTTCAGGCATACGTAACACGTGGCCCAACCATGTCAGTTGATGAAGATTCATGTCCTCATCAACTGATTTACCATCATTCCCTAATACCCTGCGTCTAATCTCACCTCACTATTACTTACCCGGTGATCCCAGCAGATGCGAGCAATATTTCTAAGGCACATGTTGTCAAATACTAGTAACCTACGAGTATCTTCTACTCTTAATGGCCATGTTTCGCAGCCGTAAAGTCGAACAGAGCGAACTGCTGCGCAGTGTACTCGTCCCTTAATTGATAGATGGACGGATATCTCGTCTTCGCCATAGGTGACGTAAATTGGCAAAAGCCAAACGAGCTTTTTGAATCCGTGCTGAGATTTCGCCAGACACCAAGCCATTCAGGCTGATCAGACTTCCAAGATAAGTGAATTTGTCGACGCGTTCGACTACTTCACTCTCTATCCTTAGTTCAGGTGTTGACGCAGGCCAGTCCTGGAGTAACTACTAATATAGTGTATTGTACAATAAAAAATGTCTAACATCAAACCTTCGGAATCATAGAATCATTCTATTTCCCATACAATTGATAAGTTGACATTACTTTAACATAAACTAAGTTGTTTGTGTTGTGTTACCACACCTTGTTTCTGACTCAATTATATTTACTATAGATAGATAATCTGGATCCAAGATTTTATTGAATTCCATTATAGATCACTAGCAATGCATAAAATATAGTGTTTCTGAGATTTAAGACTAAATATCTTCATTTTATATATCCAAAAGATGTTATATTGTAGTACAATTATTCTGTAGTCATGATGTGCTCTTCACTTTGTCAATTTACATAGATCATAACATTGTCAATCCACATTTAATAATAGATCAGTCATACGTTGTGAAAGTTTCAATCGGTGACTTTTATACAAAATGACTCTGGTCTCCAATTTATCTAGTGTTCAATCTGTTGACAATATAAATTATTACTTTAAATATTCTTTTAAATCAGAATGTTATTGCTTACATAACGAGTTTGTTTGGTGAGTGATCATATTCTTAGAAATTTATAATGAAACTATTGATTTGATTTTGTCTGGTTTGATTAGTTCAATCTCATTTATTTATTGTTTCACGTAATAAATTGCTTGTAAATTGTATGTGAAATGTTTTATTTATCTTTCTTTATTTAAAGCTGTTCGGAATACGTCCAATTCTCGAATTATATACATATGCTGATTTGACTCCAATGTTTGGTTCGACGTACAATATCCACGATCTTAAACCGTACATAATAACCTCTGAATTTCAATATTTACTTTTATTTTTTTCAAAAATGATATTTGTCGTGATCTGTTGTTGTTTTTTATTAAAACAGAACAACTTTCTTTAATAAATACTTGTTTAATAATTTTCCAGTTCATTCGTTTTCTCCCATATCGATTTCAATGGAATGTTACAAACTCAATCTTAGGGTTTACAATTGTACATAATAAAGTTTACTTTCCTTTTCTTTTGTTGTAAATTGTATTTTCCATTACTGTTATTTTATGTTGCTTTATTATGCAAACATATACGGATGTACACATTGTCAACTACTGAGCATATTGATAATTACAATACTTTACTGACGTTTTTTTGATGTACCATGCCAAGGTTGGTCTTGATAATTCCAAGTAAATTGAGCTTTGGGTACAAGGTTATTAATAAATAAATATATTTTTGTTATATCTCAATAAGTATAAAAAAATGTATTTCTGACGTTTCGTGACTTAATGTAAGCCACTTCCTCAGAGTGAATAAATAACCGAATCAAATTTACATAAGTTTAAATAGTACAAAGGAAACATTAAAGAAACGGCTTACATTAAACCCCGAAACGTTAGAAATATAATTCCTCTACTCATTGAGATATAACAGATATTTTTATTATTAATGGAGAATACTGTTGTCATCAAACATTTTTTGTGTATGTTGGTATCAGTTTAAATGAGCTTCACTTACTATTAAAATTGTACAATGCATAGTCATCTATTTTATTCTTTTGGCTTATATACAATGATTTATTCTTATTATTGTCATTATTCATTTCTATTATTTTATTTCTATGGTAATTTGTTTTCCCTATCAATGTCTTTACCTATGACGTAAAAATAATTTCAACTCAATATCAGCTTATATCTTTTTGTATACATTTATGTTTATTTCGATTTTAACCCTAATATTTTCTTTTTATTTCTCTTTGTTTTTGTATTGTGATTTTACAAACAGTCCGATAAAAACGGTTTCAAGGTTTCCTTTTCGGTTCTGTTATATTTTGTATATTTTTCAAAGAATAATAATAATATTATTATTATTATGATTGTCAGTACAACAATATATAGTTAACCATTGAAATATTGAACTACTGTAATCTTTTGTTTATTTTGTTAATTAGTTAGATATATCATGGTGTTTGTTTGTGTGTATATGTGTGGATGTAGGCTTGTTTGTATATCTTTAGGACTTTATTGGTTAATTCATCCTGTTTTTTAATTGCAATATAATGATACATATCAAAACCATTTCATATTTTTATGATATTTTTCCTGGAGTTTCACTTTAAATTCATGAATCTTTTTGTTAAATCGTCAATTTACTGATTGTTCTCACCATACCTAATTTCTTTTGTGATAGGGCATTATTATTCATTGTTGAAATATATTATTATTAAACTACACATAGCCTACTTTCCAGTTTGTTAATTAAAATTATTATCCATAATTATTGAATTGTATCCGGTGCAAACAATCAAACTTGTGAAAGTATTTAGTCTACTAGTAACTGCCTAGTTTATATATCTTAAGTTTAACCAAAATACTTTATAGACGGAATTCCTTCGACAACAATCCCATATTGATTTACATTTTGAATAAGACACGTAAAGTACGCAATATAGGTATATACATATCGTTCACGAAACGTTTTACACAATCTAAATGATGCGATGGACGATACCATTTGAAGTATTGCCTAAAGTTTCTTTATCATGTGATTTTTAGTAATCAGCATCTATTCATTTCTCATTTAGAAAAATTATTGATTTAAAGGGATGATCATTTTGTTGTATAATGTTTCAACTTCATTTCATGTTATGTATGAGTCATTTAACAGTTGTGTAGACAAACAATACACCTTCCTTCCTGGGTAACTTTCATACATCTGATATTGTCCCATTAAAGTAATTGTTGTGAGATTATTCCTAGCATTCCACTTATCAGTAAGTTCATTGTACTTAGCATGTTTGGTAATCTTCCCATCTTTGGTGAGTGGGTGCTGGATGGTAGATTATGACTTTCATTAAACATTTCATTTCAGTCCCTAACGCTTGCTACTATTTTTGATTTTATTTAGGCTGCTAAACAGACATGTTCGTAGCAAACAGTTATAAGTAACTTCAGATACCTGAAGTGAAATTCTTCATGAAATGACACTACAATATGCAGCACTTATCTATTAAGTGAATAAAAACATGGTCAAATCTGCCAGACTTTATAATTTGATAAGGTTATAAACTAAGCGTATAAAAGTATTTTAGTATGTAAGTTTTGCAATCGAAAACTGGTTCATTTGAGATTACAGTGCTTCAGTTTTATCCACTTAAATGCCTTTTTCAGTATTACAGTGGTATACATTTTTAATATGGATTCATTTTACTGTCCCTCAATGAAAGCAAATATAAACGTGTTTTTTCTTAATAAATTCTTATAACTATATTACCACATGTTGTTAAATATTATCTTAGATTGTTTGTCAGTCAGTGGTAAGATTTATTGTTAGTTTCAAGGATAGTCATCTATATTTTAGTTGATAAATTATGTATGAAAGTATTGATTTTTATCAATCAGATTAAGTTTTTTTTTAAATCAATGAATTGATGCACAAGATCTGTCAGTACACATACGCCCTTGAATTAGCTACGATATATTTTATTTTTAACCAGAGGATTGTGCATGCAAATAAAATAAACATGGAAATATCTTTGAATATTACCACTACCAATGAGTCGATCTCTGTAAATGTTTTGGCACACAGATAACTTTCAAAATTTAACCAGCAGTTTAGAAAATATGGCGTATCGGTTACTAATCCGAGTATCTTTGTTTTTGATGTTGTGTTCTCTGAGCTGGACAGTTCAATTGTAGATATTTCATCGTCATTCTTGAGAATAATTTTATCGCCTACTTCATGTAGAAATGATTTAAATGTGCATCCAGACGACAGATATGATAAAGTGTGTGCGTGTATAAGGAGAAAGAGATCACACAGTGTTAAAACTCAACCCTCATAAGAATTTTTAGACCTTCTAATGCTAAGGTAAAACATTGTTCAGCATACCTGTTATATTGAACAGAGTCTTCAAACCGAAAATGAACTGTAACGTAACCCAATAAATGAGCAATTGAGTATTATTTAAAAAATCCCTTTAAAACTTGAGATAAGAAAGAGTTAACATTTAATCAGAAAACCAGTCTTCTTTTACAACAAAGTCGACAAAGATATTGGCTGAATATTTATGTCGTCTAGATATTCTTTACTTGTGTACAATTATTGGCGCTTGACAAATGCCATAATATTTAGTGTAAGAGGTTCGTAGAAATCGTTAAGTTTCATAGTTTGCACCATGTTTCGCGGTAGGGTCATGGATGTCCACTTCTGAAGTGTTCCATACTAGGATAAAACAATTATTCAATTCTTTATGGCTTTCAGTGCTTGTCTAATCAAGAGCAGTTCGTGATTTAAGCTGTCAATAATATTTGTCAATGAAACATTTCAGCATTAAGTGTTAAGGATAAAACAATAGCCTAATCATTTGTCATTATCATTATGATCTACAAACAGATTTTCATTGTCTGTAGAATAATGAATGAATTTTTTTTAACAAAGTACTATTACATATATTTTTAAAATCATTTGTCCTCACAGTGATAGACCTTGTTCTGACAGCGTAATTTTTTGTTTTTTATATTTATCACCAACGTTTTACCTGTATTTAATGTGCGTGCATCAGTATTTGTGTTTTTGATATGTAAGAACATGAAAATGAAGTTCATCTAATTCACTTTGAAGTAGTATTAGGGCTGGACAAAATTATTTGAATGATGAAAATAATATTGTTTTGTACTAAGAAATAATCCACTTTACTGTACTACCACTGCACACTACATATCTTTTATTGAAACAATTGAAAAAACATATTTTCACTTTGGTTTTGTAGTATATTTTTTGTTTATATTTCACTTATCATTCTTTTTTGTTTGTTTACGTCAGTGGTAGAGTGTTTGTCCTTTTATTTCAGCGTGTAATCGATAAAGTTAGAGAAAAACGCTGTAGTTTTCTGTTTTTTATCAGATGTTTGGAATTATCTCTCAATGCGAAGCCATAACTGAAAGGATTTCGTTTTACACTGCAATAAGTCATAATAATATGGAATTTTTTTAGTAATATTCTATTTCCAGGTATTTGACTAATTTCTCACATAGTTGCGTAATGGATTAACAAAATAAAAGACATTTTGTGAGATAATTTATATATGAAAGCCATTAATATTACCCAATCACCTAAATAATAAGTCTATAAAGTTGGCTTTAAAGTGTCCTATTATATTAATGTATGATTTCATCCTGATGAATATCTTTTATCAGCCAAGTTTAAATATCAACTGAAGTGTACCAACTTCTATATCCGTTATGTTTATTGTTGAATAAATATAGGGAAATTTTAAGAGGCCACTTACTGGAACCTATTGATCACTTACATCTGTCGTATAGATCTCTTAGAAATTCTGACTAACCTGACTTTGAATATCTAAATTGTTCAATGAACTACCCTTTTACAATAGTACTTATTAAAAGATAATTTGATACTCTACACTTGATTTTATATTACCCAAAGATTTAAAAGCCAAGTTCACCTTTTCTTCCCAAACTTCCCTAATTTTTCAAGTTGAAGATATCACCTCATCATTCAAATGATCCAATATTTGAAAGAAGCATGCGATAGAATTTTATATGCATTTATTTTATAACTATTTGTATCATATTATGAACAGTTCCCTAACCAACCACAACGTGAATAATATCTTCATATTTTCTAATGATAGATTTATAACAGTTTTTTTTTCGCGAATTATATCTCGCTTATAGGTTTAATAAAATTTGTGAGTACCTTATTTTGATGTTGAATAGATTGATTAGCTCTGGTTTTTGATGTACAAAATTACGTTGAAAACGCCGCTTTCGTGTATTCAGTTATTATACACATAATTTCTTCATTGAAGTTTATTATTATATTTCATTTTATAATAGTCTGTCTTTTGTCTGAACGGTATACTACGCACTATAAAGTGCAAACATTTCGATATAAAAAATGAACTACTCATAGTAATATCAGTAGTTATATATATGATCTACATATTCTTCAGCATACCATGAATAATGTCAATGCAGCCAAATAGCTGAAAACTGTTGATGATAATTGTTCAAAACCAGACAACGAAATTGTAGTTTTGTAATTCTAAAGCAAAATCATGACTAAATGAAAGGAAAAACTGATTATAAAATCTTCACGTTAATGCAGCGAATGTAGATTTGTGTTCTTTTAATTTAGTTAGATCAGTATCTTGTTTTTTGATTGGCAGTTCTGTTCTTCACCAGCTGTCGAAATAATGTTGAAAAAGTAACGTTTTTGAATTTATCGGTTAAGTCAGGGTTGAATTTTCTGTATAAACATATGTATATTGTTATTTCCTTGTACAATCCAAAGTTTCGTCTAAATAAGTTTTTTTCAATCCACTTTTGTTGAACTATTTATAATAACGAAAGATATTGTAAATTATATCTCAAAACGTAAGCTTTTTGATAAAGATATTTCTGAGCGATCAAAATTTCACATATATTCAGTACTTAATCCATGTTATCACTGCATTATAAAGTGAATTGTCAACAAAGTAACTAGTTTATCTGGCTACCCTACGACATAATGAGGTATATTAATGTTGATTCGGAGCTTACCTACACTTCTGTTAAACTAAAATATCAAAACTGTTTTTACTAACTCACCATGATTATAATTGTATTTCACTGAATATTTCAACTATATACGTTTGAACGTAACCTCTTAAGTAATGTAGACGTAGTATGTTTTTTCACAATTTCGTTAAAAATGTTGTCAAGTGTGATAACAAAGACTACCTATTAGTCATGTTTAAATCAGTTATCCTTGGATTTTCAAACCGAGGTATTTTTACTGATCTATAATGATTTTAATATCAGGTAAGTTTTAACTATAGAAATTTCTATCTACATATTACATGCTTTTACAATATATTCTACTGCCATATAAATCTTCATTAAAAAAGTATCTCTTCTTACTTTAGATGATTTTTTTGTCATCTTTAATCATAAAACCAATAAATCATATGATTATGTTACAATCTAATCGGTTTATTTCAATTGGTGATCGAATATCTCTTATTAGAAAAATTACAACTAAAGATGTAAAGGATTTTGCAAAACTTACTGGTGATATTAATCCAATTCATTTAGATTCGAATTATGCTAAACAAACACGTTATCAAAAATGTATTGTACATGGAATCTTTGTTCAAGGGTAAATAATGATCTGATTTTATTCATTAAAATTTTGTTTCACTTATCTATAATTTTAAATATTTTTTGAATAATTGTTTGAGCGTAAATTCAATTTTTCTATACTGTTTTTTTTTCAAAATCCAGTACAGCATCGATAGTAACTTACTTTAACCAATGAACTGTATTGAATCAGTAATAAGTAATTTAAAAACAATCTAGGGGCGAACTAAGCAATATTTTTCATCTTTCCATGAAATCATTAAGCGCTGTTGGTAACTGTAAAATTCCAGTTTAGAATCTATGGGATAATTTCAACCTGTCGGTGTGAATGGTAAGTGGTATGACCGAAAATCAGTTTCTCTGGCATGGTTGGATTTATATATTATCCTCAATCAAATTATTACTCAAATTCAACAATCTCCTATCTTGGCACATGATGTTACCTTGTGTAAAAGTAGATTCGGAGAATGCTGCGGGCGTCCAAAACATAACATCAGTCCGTGAAATCACTGACTATCGAACTTTCTCAGATAGTTCACACTATTGATGTTAACATTTTCAATATAATAAAGTTGAAATGCTATAAGATGGCAAAGAGTAAAGTACATTTCCTTAAACAATAATATACACGCGTTATGTCATAGATTGATTGAAATGTAATCAATCATACTCTTGGAGTTAATCTTATTATTTAACATTCTAGCCAACAAACCTGAGTGTACTGAATTTACTCACTAAAGTAGCCATATTTGTGTACAAAATAAAAGTACCAAGAACAAATAGGAAATCAGTTCCAGATTTGTTGCTTTCTAAATGTTTTTTTCTCACCTTTTTGATGCTTAATTCATTCATTCTTTGTGATAAAGTATGTAAATATTGAAAAACTTCATAAAAATCGAATTAAATTAAATAACTTATTAATTAAATATTATAACCCTAATCTCTTCTTGTTTATCTAACACTTACTATTTCATCTACGAGTTTCTTTTTGTGAATAAAAATAAAGAGAATTCAGCGAAGAAAATTTTCTTTTCGATGAAATCATCTTTACTTTTTCTATTCTTTTATAGACATATATTTTCCATATAATTATAAATATGAATGTACAGCTTAAGTAAATGATTTCGTCGAAAAATAAAATTTTCTTCCCTGAATTCTCCTTGTTTTTATTCAGTGACAAAATGTGTTTTCTTTTTCTTCTGAGATTGATAATAACCTCATAATATCCTTAATCAATTGTATCTTTTCTTATGATCCTATTTGGCCGAGTATTTTAAGGCTTTGTGAATGAATTAAATTTGGTATTTATTTTCCAGTCATTCAATTTGAGGAATTGAAATTATACTTTGATAATAATTACTTTCAAATGAAGTTATTAGACTGTGTATTTCCTAGTATTTAATGTTAATGGCCTAATATCAATTCATTATTATATTTTTAAAACTACTACATCGTAGATATAATACTAACATGTAGAGTTTTAAATATCATTCTAGTTCTTGCTCTCGTTTTGACGGATTTTTTCTGGTAGATGAAAATTATTTGGTAGAACATTGTTTCACTGAATTTCTTGTGTTTGTAAACTGTGTTTCACTGTTGAAATATTCATGATATCTTCATTATACAATTAGTAATATGTTTAATAAAAACACCATCGATTTATTATTATTATTTATTTATTTGAACACATAATTATTGATACAAAGGGGCAACCGATACATATGCACCACACAAATCTCATTTGATTTGTGTGACTGCTGTGTGCTTGGGTGCCCAAACCGAATCAGGTGGGTTTTTTAGGAAGCCACACCCCGAGCCTTTGACCTAAAGCTCTGATCCACAATGCAGATCGAGCATCGTGAGGAGATGCAGTCTCATGGTAGCTGGTCACCAACGATTGGTTCATACGCCATTTGTTCCCTCAGGATACTGGAGCCCATGAGCACCATTGGTTTGAAATCAGGGTTTTCCAACTCCCCTAGGTGGGCACTTCACATTCACCAACCCGGTTACAGCGCCGGACATTCGCTTTTCGTCCTCTCAATTTCGTAAACAACAGTAATGCCACGAGAAGGCAGTGAGTAGGACTTGCTCGGCAGAGGCTATAAACGCGTGGCCATCTGAGAGCATTTGGAGAGGGAGAGCGGACTCTCCCCACTCTCGACCATACCAGGGCATTCGAGGGCAAAAAATCGATTTATTGGAATGGAAAATCTAAAGAATATTGAACAGCTTTTTCATCAGCAGCGCTCTTCTACAATTCTGCATTAGACAGTTAGATATCTCGGAAAATACAAAATTCGGTCATGAAGATGTATTTCCATTATTCTAGTAGATGTTGAATAAAATCATCTTGTTTCTAGCTGTGAAAATATCTTAGGCGATGTAGTTAAAATGATATTTGTGATAATTTTCAAAATCTTTAAAATAATCTTGTTTTTGATTATTCTACATTTAGTATTAATCAATGGTAAAAATAATTGTAAATTTGTAAAAACAAAAATTCTCTCTTATGAGAATGATTAAAAACTTTTCTACATCACTTTAATTTGTTTGTTTATCCACATTTATTTGAATTGTTGTTATTATCATCGTGTTTATTAATTCCTTTTTTTATTCTGATCTACCAGTAGTTTTTATTATGGTAACTTTTTCAATTATTTAGTTATTTTATAGTTGATGCGCACTGCTGAAGAGTCCCACAATAGGACGAAACGGCCGTTCAGTGCTTCCAGGTTTTCCATCATTGTCTAGCTGCAATTGATTCATGATTTCAACTATTGAAATTACTAAAATCTCCACAAAACCCCCTTCTGATTATTTAGTTTTTTTTCATCGATACAACCACTTCTTACTTATAAATGTCTAAAGTATAGTGTTAATTATTTCTATCTCACTTGACTAAATTCCTGTGGGAATTTATTGTTTGAAGACAATTTCTAATTAAAAGTTTTATTATAGAATGAAACTGTTATTTAATTGGATTAATATGTGAATTATTTCAAAGATATGTTAAATATTCTCAATAAGTATAGGTGAAAAATAAAGATTAGTAATGATAATTCATCAACTAGAAGAAATTGAGACACCAAATAATGAACCACACTGATTGTCCATCTGTGCCTTATCTGGCTCTTGGAACTAATGTTGTTGAATTGGGACTTGAACTTGTAATTCTATAGATGGATACTGACGTTTCACTTTATTCTTAAAACTCATTCCCATGTATATAAACTAGTTATTTATTTTTCTGAAGTTAGAACCTAATTTTCATAGTAATTTTAGTTTTATCCAGTTTGATATGATACAAATCTCTAAATTACCACAATTGTAAACTTTTAAATTAAATATTTATATTAGAGAAATAACCATTATAATTAAACAAATAATCAGAATGTATGTTTGTTATCAGTAATTCCAGAAGAAGTGCCACTAACCAAGGTTCTTTAATGATTTTCAAGAACGATATACAGATAGTGGATTGTTCTCTCTTTGTTGTGGTTAGATAATTACCAAATTTCTTGCTGATTTTACCATATCCTGCGAAGGCTTATAGGAATTCAAGGTCTCCTTTGGTTCTATAAATAGTTTTCTCTGTACATAATCTAACCTTGGAAGTGGCATTTCATTCCATTGCTCGGGTTTTATTTCCTATTTGTGGTAAAAGATTAAAACATACCCTAAAACTAGAAAGTATTTAGGAATACTGTATCTAAAACGTTCATGGTACAAGACTTATCGGTGTTTCGCGCATCAATCGGTCATCACGTATTGATTAGTTTCATATTTTGCTTCATAAGTGATCGTTGCCTATCAAGTTATTCAACTATCTTAGTGTTTTGGTGCAATTTGTTTTCATTTTTGGTGACTGATAACAAGTGATATAACTATTTATAACTACGTTAAGCGGTTATATGGTGAGGTTAAAGTTTCTCTACTCTACTATTTGACATGTCTCGCTACATCGTGTAAATAAATCCTATTGTAATATGGTTACAAAACATAAGATTTATATTGTTAATGAGTCATACCTTTGGATATTACTGTAGCTTAATGACACACAAGATATTTAGGGTTGATGATTGTATTCATTATCCATTTAACATGAATTATTCATTGTTATAGTAAAGAATCACTCGGTTTTTACTGGGGATATCAATTAAAGTACCATACAAGTCATCATTAAATCAAACTAATAATTCTAGCTCTTCAACTTGTCTAAACTATTTGAAATACATCATTCCAGACTGTTGTAATGGCTACACTTCACTAATTTATTGTGTTTCTTATGTATAGAGTTTTCTTGAAAATTACTTTAGAATTGTTTCCATTTTCTTCTATCTTTCATCGTTAGTCTGATTTCTTGTTTGCTTGGTGTACATTTCCCTGGGACCGGATGTGTTGTACATGTAATAAACTGTAAATTCCCAGAACCACGTAAGTTGTTATTTTTAATCAGTGTATAATTTCTTTTTATCTTTATTGTACAAATAGTTTGAAGCGAAATATATTGATACGTTTAGTCGGCAAGAGACCTTTAGCCTAAGTTTCATGCTAATCGACACTCATCAACTATATGTACTTAAAATCTTGATAGAACTAATGCTGTGTGTATGATTTGAAAACACGTTACTCAGCTCCAAAGTATCTTTTATTGTACTAATGAAACCATAAATCCATTTAGTATTAATACCCTAGAAAATATTAACTAAATGTTTCACTTTTCTTAATTTTTGCACATGAATGCTAATCGGACATCTTTCCTTTTCTATTTATTGTTCACTTAAAAACATAAACATTAGTACAAGGAGGTACCGAATATATATGCGCTACGCTTCGTTATTCGATTTGTGTGAGGGACCAGTTACTGTCCGGGCGTCAAAAAACAGATGGTTTTCTGAGATAGCCACTCCCATGGCCTCTGACCTAGAAGTCTGATCCACAAGGCAGTGAATCGAAGTTAGGAGATGTGGTTCCATAGTAGTCAGTGACTAATAATAGGTTGATACGTCCTTTGTTGGATCCTCTGCACCAACCAACCTGATTGGAGCACTGGACATTCACTTTTCGTCCTCTCGATTTTGTGAACAAGGCAGTGATTAGGAATTCCCTGACAGTAGCTGTAAACTTGTGTCTATGTGAGAGTATTTGGAGAGGGAGAGCGGACTTTCCCCACTGTCAACTTCATCAAGACACTTAGGGGCAAAAATAAAGAAATTAGTTGGGAAGTGTAAGATTACCATGTTGAATGAACTAGGATCTACCGTTTAATACTTTCATGTTTGAATATTCATAAATTGTAAGAGCAGGACCTAGATTGTATTTGTCTTGCTGTAGTGTTGAGTATTTTTTAATTTTATTTCTACCAACTATATTTTTTAATCAATCTTCAACTAAGAAGTTTATCTTTTTAACTACCTAGTGGTGGAGAGAACGACTGTTTTGTTCACAATAATTCTAAGTGAATCTTGACAGATCAATGTAGTTCAGCCAACTGATGTAGTTTTTGTGACACAGTAATAATTTAAAGTCTTTACTTAAAGTTAGATTTCCTCACAGAAAACTTGCAAGCCATTGACAATCTTAGGGTATAAAACAAAGATTACATTCTGTTTTCAGGCTTCTCAGTTGTAAACACATGAAGGCCCAAATTCTGTTAGTGGATGACAGTAGTATACATCTTTTTCATGGTTGCTTCAAACAGAAAAAAGTGTTATTTGAGTTTCAGCTAATCTACCTTCATGTTTGATCGATTTTTGTCTTAGTAAATAATCAGTCATCACAAAATCTTTGTAACGTGTTGTGAATGACAGCGTGATCAACTAAGTAATGAGGTCGGACCGATCTGAAGCGTTACACCATTCTCGGAGGTTTTCCACTAACTGATTATCTCGATATATATTGATACACCAGTTAATTAGTGATTGAAGACACCTCACTGTGATACCTTTAATTTACAATATTACGAGCTTTACGTCATCAATTTAGTAAATGGTGAATATATTGACTAGATTTTTTGGCAAATAATCTAGATACCTTGTGTTTACTTTATACTACTAAGTTTTTAAGCTACTCAATTGTATCTTTCCAGTAGTGATATCTCTACTTTTAATAAAAGCAAAGAGAATAAGGCAAGGAAAATTTTATTTTCGACGAAATCATTTAATTAAGATGTATATTTATAGTTATTTTTACTTATATGGGAAATATATGTCTATAGAAGGATAGAAAAGACTCTTATTATCAGATGAGGTTACACAATAATCAACGGGTAAGAAAATAATATAAGGCTGGAAATAATTAACGGGTCTGAATCATGAAAGATAATTGTCTAATTGACAGGTATGAAGAAAAACGAAAAACATAAAGGTCATAATCATGAAAACTGAATAATAACCAAAGAAACTTGTTTAAGAATGATAATAATAACTGATTACTGTTTAAAATTACAAAACGCTAGTTTAAAAAATCAAACATAATATTAGAAGAGACCTGCTTCCAACGTGAACTGAATTGGAGGGTGACAGTAATTGAAACTATTCAAAAGGCCCCTATCTTCCTCACAAATAATGAAAGTATCATCCATATATTTCAGAAGCAAACGGGGAATTTCATTTTCTGATGTCTGATTGAAAAGAAAGTCGGATTGTTTTTTTTACAATGATCTATATATACAGAAAACCGACCATAGCTATGTCCCACTGAGTAGAAAGAAGAACTTAATTCACTCTTTAGGATCAGGAGAATATTTCCTACTGACACAATGGGTGATAAACTACTTAAACTTAGACAGACTCTCATTACGAATAGTTATCCACCTAGATTCGTCTATAGTAACTTAACACCTAGACATCATCCGAAAAAGCGCCAACTGTGCAAAAGAAAATTCTTTTTATGAACATCGAATTTAAAGGAGATACGGCTGCTGAAATCTTGAATAAACGGATTTCAAAATCGTTGAATAAAGCGTTCTACTCAGCTAAGTTCCGAGTTATTTTCTCCAGCTGGCCTATCATTCACAGATATGTTAAAGATGAACTTCCGCCTCGGGCCACATCAATGTGCATCTATAAATCGACTTGCCCATGTGGGGCAGGTTACATTGGCCGCACAAAGTGATCACTTCCCAAACGCATCTCAGAAGATTACCCGGCATGGCTTTTAAAAGGAGAATGCAAAACAATTACTAGTTCAATACTGGAGCATTTAATCAATTATGGACACATTGCTCCAAATGAGTCTTCTTTTAAAGTAATCTACACAGTCAAAAGAATTGAATCAATGGGAGGTCGGATCAAAATCTTATGCTCTCTTATGCTAAGACACTGGTAATTCACCAACTGAAACCCGAACTTTAAGGGCGAAAACGATACGTCTAACCTCTCATCCTTCCTTCACCCTAATTCCCTTTTGTAGTATGTTTAAGGTTTCTTCTAATATTATGTTTGATTTTTTAAACTAGTGTTTTGTAATTTTAAACAGTAATCAGTTATTATTATCATTCTTAAACAAGTTTCTTTGGTTATTATTCAGTTTTCATGATTATGACCTTTATGTTTTTCGTTTTTCTTCATACCTGTCAATTAGACAATTATCTTTCATAATTCAGACCCGTTAATTATTTCCAGCCTTATATTATTTTCTTACCCGTTGATTATTGTGTAACCTCATCTGATAATGAGAGTCTCGAATCAATTTATGATGCAATCTTTTCTATCCTTCTATAGACATATATTTTCCATATGAGTATAAATAACTATAAATATACATCTTAATTAAATGATTTCGTCGAAAAGAAAATTTTCTTCGCTTAATTGTTGTCAATTTAGTTCAATGACACAATGGGTTATTTTAATTATCTCTACCTTACTTCATTCATTCATTTGATCATAGTATTTGTCGATGAAACATGTCGAATAGAAGCTGTAGTATCTAAATTACGCGGAAGATTAGCTACTTTCGATGTAAATGCTTATGCATGGGAAAGAAATGCGGTAAATATTTTCATTATTTATCTTGTTATTTTATGCTTAAGACAATGAAGTGAATTTCAAAGGTGTTTTAAATTACCTATCAAGTTATTTGTTCAAATATTAAACGAGTATTCTTATAAATTATATTAAGCAAACTGTCATTTATTTTCTCTCTTTCAATGTGTGTTTGGGAATGTGTGTTCAACTCGATCTTTTTCTATCGATGATAGAGAGAACAAATATCTTGGAGATCTCTATACAAATTGTTTTTAGGTAGATTTATACAAAATAGTATATGTGTACCGAACGAGACTTGGTGGGGATAATCAATTTACTGTTTTTAGGAAAATAACTGAGTGTCTTCATACATTATGAAAACCATACATTAAATACTTCATTTTCACATCTTCAATCAGTTGTCCGTTACATCGTTCATTATTCTTTCAATTATACTTTTATTCCAATTCCTTTCTGTTTTTCTTTCAGTTCTCTTCATTTCAATCCTCTCAATCTTCTGCTACCACGTATTCTATTTATGATTGGTGTTAAATACTTCTTATATCTGTGGACATAAATAGCACACACCATATATATAGTGAAACATTAATTTGCTCGATACTTGAATTTGCTAGAAAACGAGAATATGTCAATTATTAAAGTTGATTGATGATTGATCTGAAGTGTAAATAAAGTTCTGAAATTCATGTAATTTATTCCATATTGAATGATTTATAGTTATTCAATGTGAAAAACCTGTAGATGAAATTAATTTTAGCTGTTGCTTGGAAACTGATCTAATGTCTATATTAAAGGAATTGAAACAGAACAAGAACTTCAAGGTTTGAGGAATAAAATGAATTTTTTATTCTATTTCATGGTTTATTATCGATCATCGAAAGAATAAAGATGCAATGTGGATACATATCGATGTTATCTGTATTTATTTATATACTTTATATCCTTATTCTTTTGATGATTATGATTTCGAACATTTATCTAAACTTCACATAGTAAATTATGCTAAACACTTGTGAATAATCATAATTGTTGTAGGTTGTATGCATATAATAATAAACCATGAACTAGAATAACGAATTCAATTTATTCTACAAACCTTGTTGTTCTTGCTCTTGTTTGTTAGGGAATCTGGTTGTATTATAGTGTGTTCTACTCATGTTGACAGATATAAGTAGTATGTATCATCAATCAAAAATGAAATGTCTGGCGGCAGCAAGTTTAGAAGATCGAAGGAAGGAGAGCAAGAACAGACAATGATTGGTGTGGAAACGAAAGAACAATAGAGTCTGCGACCATTGATTGACATTTTTCAAATGTAGTATTTACTGTGTCATTCTCAGATTTTACTAAGATATTTTGTAATTATTTGTTGAACTACATTTGGTTGTCCCCCTGGATGTTCTCGTTCACTACAGTATGAATGGTGTTAAATTACAATGATAACAAGGAATATATAACAAAATGAATAAATCTTAACAATAATTTATTGTTCCACCTTTATTCTTCACATTAATAATTCAAGAATTATTTCTTTGTTTCATTAGATAAAAATTATTAAAGTCTGTATAGTATAAGTGTTTCAGTTGAATTAATTAGTGTGTTATAAACTTAAAATAGTAGATTTCATTTTCACAATTGATTGATCACTGGGTGGTGATTAATCTCATGCGTGTCAGGTCCTTCTTAGTGCTGATCGAATGCTATCGATCGAGTTGCAATGTGACCACCAGTCTAGGTGGCTCGACACTGCTTGCACTATGTATATTGAGGTAAGATGGTGGTTGGAGGTGGTCAACAGGAAACCCTGGACCCGGGTTTCGTGCTACTTGGCACTCGTCAGCAAGGTGTACCTGTAATCCTGAGGGAATTGATGCTCCCTGGCGGATTCGATCCCGCGTCACTCAGCTTCACAGTCAGAGACGTTACCACTGGGCTATTCGGGCCGCGACCAACCTCCTGTAGGACTGAAATGTAATCACAATTGATTGATCACTGGGTGGTGATTAATCTCATGCGTGTCAGGTCCTTCTTAGTGCTGATCGAATGCTATCGATCGAGTAGATTTCATTTTCATTTAGTCTTAAATATTAGAAAGATACTATTTAAAAAATATATCATTGGATGTGTTAAATGTATAAGTGGATCGGTTGAAGTTAGACATTAACACCGTTGGATGCCGGCCGGTTCAGTGGTCTAGAGGCTAAGCACTCGCGCCTGAAACTGATAGGTCCTGGGTTCGAATCTCGCGAGCCGGGATCGTGGATGCGTATTGCTGAGGAGTCCCACAATAGGACGAAACGGCCGTTCAGTGCTTTCAGATTTTCCATGGTGGTCTAGCTTCAATTGATTCATGATCTCAACTAATAAAATTTGTATGGGTATACGTATAATAATATGTCTTAAGATGGTAAATTGTAATCAGTAGATTAAAATATTCTACCAAAAATCGTATGTTAAAAATTAATTTAATGTAAGTGTTTGTTGTTTCGTAATTATTCTAATGACAGTAACAATAATCATTCATACTATCAGCAAGTATATCATTTAAAATGAAACCAATGAATGTGTAGTTAAGAACGAAAAAAAAGACATGTTAGGGAGTATAAATCAAAAGAAAAAGTCGTTTTGTTTATGCATTCTGTTAAAAGTGGTTTAAGAATACGATGACTTTATTGTTAACCAAAGTAAACCGACATCAAATAGATCATTTTTTTACACGTAAGTCAGGTTTTTTTAGAATTGATACTAATTTCTTCACCTACACAAAATAAGTGTTATGTTGGACTTCTTGATGAATTACTTTGAAATTGATGTGTAACTGTGAAGTATCTTTAATTTTCATATCATACTCATAGTCAATTATATGGGAAAGAATGACACCATTAATAGATTTGTTAACATTTTACTAACCATGTCGGCATGTGTTCACCAACGCCCAGGAATAAGGGTCTTTAATTACGGCCGATGTAACTAGCCTTACTTTAGTACTTACATTGCTAAAGACGTGTTATATCATGTGGCCGAGTGGATGCCCTGTTAATGTGTGACGTGATAAGACCGCCAATCAGAGAGCAGCGACTTATCGATTGGAAAACCTTACGAGCAGTCTAGAGTACGTACCGGTTCTGCTTTCTGCCTAGCCCAGCCAGTTAAGTCCAGAACACCAATAACAGCCACTGCGGTATGAATCATTTATTTCAAACATACTGAGTTTATATACAAAACAGCCTGACTACATCGTACCATAAAATAGAAAATAACATTTGTACAATAGTTGGCCAAATGTGGCTGTGAATACGGGGAGCAGTAATTAATAGACTGGGTATAACTCACGAATGGTAAATCGTACAATAATAGTCCAAGGGTCAAAATCAAGCTCACAATGAAAGGAGCATGAATATGTGTAGTTTAATTATTTAGTAAATATACGATAAAAATTATATGCATAATATTGGTGCATAAATGGATCTCAAAGTTACCATTCACTATTGTTATCGGGGCATAACAAGACGTATACATGAGCCTATGGTTAGTATCTTAGCTTTGACTCGCTTTTTCAGTATCAGTTTCATTGAGGAAGTGACATGCAATTTCACAGGTTTAAAATTTGCTTCAATAAATCTACCTAGTCAATGTGTAGTAACATCATTTGCTATAATATTACTTTTGAAATCAAGTTTTAAGTAGAGAGGTTTCTTTTTGTTTATGACAGTACATACCTTGTTTTTGGTTCTTTTATGTATTTCTTTATGAATTATAAACCCTATGAGTTATTGAATAATCTGTTTAAAGTATTTCTAATGTGTAATTTTGTCTACAGACCACTTTTTTTTACTTTATAGAATGTTCTTATTGGTTGTTTCGATGTATTTCTAACACGTGAACAACTTTCTTTAAAGCCACCAGTTGATAATGAAATTGTCTATCATAGTGATTAATTCGTTAGTGATTGTGATGCATTTAATCTTTAAATGTACATATGTAAATATAATGCTAATAAATGAAATTATATGCGATAATGTTTATTTCGAAATATAAAACTATATTCTTGTTAAAGAAGATCGTCTACTTTCTTTGACTGATGGGAAATTCTGTGTGGTTGGTTTTACAATTAAGTTAATAACTTGAATGTATGTCTATAGTTGTCTTCTTAGCTTTTATTGGCTACATGTATCGGGTTGGTTATGTTTAGCACTGATTTTGTACTAACACACCATAATACTTTTTAAGATAAAAGTTAGTAATCTATCTATGCTGGAGTTATGAATCTCTCATCTATTACCATTGGCAGTTGAAAACCAAATCATTTATTATGAAAAGAGTTTTTCCATAATTAAGTGTATATCCAAAAGATTATTTGATGAGAGCATTAGTTTTTGCGATCCTAAAACCGAAATATAATGAGTATCCCTACGTTTTATTTCAAGGATAATTGTATTGAACTATAGTTTGAAGGCTAGACTACTGAACTGCTGACCAATCAGTCAAAATTCTAAGTCTCTTTGAATCTGGATAATAAGGTATCTATATTTTTCATTTTATTGTTGATATTATGGTTTTCTGAAAAATATAAATGATGTTGATTTTTGACAAAAACCACGAAGATGATATTCGTTTACCAAAACAAACTCAACTGACTATCCTGATAATTAGATGGGACAGGTAATGTAAGGAAACTCCATATTGATTAGGCACCTAATGTTTGAACTACAGTAAATTTCATTCAAAAGAAAATTTTCAACATAATTCTTTTTGTTTAATAAACAGTCGGTTATGAGATCAAGAAGGCAACAATTAGAACTACATTTATTTATTTAAACACATAAACATTGGTACAAGGAGTAACCATATATATATATATATATATATATATATATATATATATATATATATATATATATATATATATACTTCGCTATTCGATTTGTGTCAGGGATGGGATACTGCTCGAGCGCCAAAACCTAAACAGATGGTTTTCTCAGAGAGTCACTCTCCATGCCTCTGACCTAGAAGTCTAATCCACAAGGCAGTAGATCAACGTTAGAAGATGTGGTTCCATCGTACCGGGTGGTCAATAAGAGTTTGTTACGCCGTTTGTTTTTTCCTGACCCTTGAGTCAATGTGCACCACTAGTTTGTAATCCGAGTTTTCAAACTTCCTTAAATGGATCCTCCGTACCCACCAACCTGACTGAAGCACCAGACATTTAATTTTCCTCCTCTCAATTTCGTAAACAACACCCTTCGTGAGATCAGCCAATACATTTGTCTATAAAGATGTTCAGTATGAATAAGGTTTTAGAAAAGCAAATTCGCTGAAATTAAAAGAGAACACCTTTTTATGGTAGACTTTATAGATTAATTGGAAGTTATGTGATGCACATGGATTTTATCACTCCATAAATAAAAGTATGCACTTCTTGCCTTGAAAATCAGAAAAAAATCCTGGTATTATATAGTCGAATGATCGTTGATGGATTAGATTATCAATCAAAATTATTTTGACTATATGTTGAAGGCGTAGTTGAATGATACAACTTCGGTTAGATGAACCAAGGCTCTATCCTATGATAAAGAGCATCTCTTACACACTGAGACGTAAATTCAATACAAATCATTGTAAAATAAGAATATAAGTGTTTATAGACTCTTGGTAAGTTCGAAGTATACGAGTAATATTGAGTCACAACTACTTTATACATAAAGCTAAGAAACAAATAAGTTTATAATAGTAGCATAGCAAGTCGTAAAAAATATATATAGACAGTCAATGATGTTACATAGAATTGCTGTAACATATATAATAACTGAGCATTGTCATATGGTACTACTTTTACTGTCCAGACATATGTTTTAGTTCTTTTGTCGAAAGTTGAATATTAGTTTCCATCTATTTGTAGACGGACAAATGATTATTATAAAGGTGGTTTTGGAGATTTTTTGTGTACTTATTTACTAGTCATGGTGAAATAAACTCATCATTTTCATGTAGTTTTTTATGTATAATTTAAGAAGCGTAACCAAACTGATGACGATTGCTACTTACTTTATATATAATGTTCATCAAATATTATTTTTAACACGAAGGAGAGTTAGACAGCACGTTATTATTTCATAACTCGTGGTTATCAATAAATAGCTGCATACTAAACCAATGTAAATGTAATTTAAATATGCGAAAATTTGATTTTCGGATCAATGGTTGAATTTAATAAGATTGGATAGTGGCAGTCATTCTCCGCCTGGAGCCCCTGCAGAGTTACTACCGGTCCTTTACATAAAAAAGGACGAGGGTTTGGAGTAGGATTAGTAAACCCATTCCGTAAAAACCCTCGCTAAAAAACATCAACCAGGAAGAATCATTTAAATCTTTAAAGCTGTGCACTGAACGTTGAAGGCTCTTTATTTGGAAGAATTGCGGCATCTCAAACTGAAAGTCAAGAGTCTTCGGAAACTGCCAAGATAGTGCCCCTTTCGATAACCGGAGTCGAAATTGATATAATTACTTGAAGTCTCGAGACAATGTCGGTGACTGAGAGGATCATTCAAATAGTGGTGAAAATGAAAAGGTACAACCGCGTGAAAACTGGCGTCAGACAGGACTGCCCACCCTGGATTTTCCTCTTTCTGTTCGTTCGGAATTCATTTAGAACTATGATAATTGCTCCATAGAAATGCTCTTATTTGTATCGGTATTTGAGTTGCAACATAGTCATGTACTTTACTATATAATTATTGGAAAAATACTTTTATTAATCCCACCAACTAAATTGGTTAAACATGAAATATTGAAATTAACCAGTTGAACGATCAATAGTTAAATAATTAGAAATTAGGTTATGACACCTAACAGTAATAATTAGTCATTAGAATTTGTTGCTAAGTGGTGTCGAGAAAAACGCTCATCTAGAGAGATTAAGAAAACTTTATGATTGAACTGCTTGTATAGTTCACGTAATTGGCAATACCTGATATGCTTTAAGTAAAGTATAATCATTCCTGAATTATTGTAGTAATGATGATTTTTCTCCAGTTGACTTGTCCCTCTAGACAGTAATTGCATTACTACAGGTTGATATAAATTGTACTACATCTTTGTGAAAACTTTTGTTATTCATTGGCATATTGGCATACCCAATAAATTATTTTCGTAAACATTCTGGGTATTTTATTATAAGAACTGAAAACATGTTAATATATATTTGAATATCAATAAAATATCTCGATTCCAATTTAATTGATGAAGTACATTCAATTGGAATTCAATTATTATTTTCTAAACACTAACAGTTTTATTGAATTCGGATAAAATCTATCATTGAGACCCAACAAGTGCGTTTCGTTTAACTTGACACTCATTAACGGGTTGCTTCTCTATTCCAGTATCCATGTTCACATCGAGACTTAAAACCTAATACCTCTTGCTTCAAACACCCTACGCATTATCCATTTAGCTTGTACAAAATAACGGTATGAATTCTATATTTTTAAGAAAATTGTACTATGCCAATTTCAATCTTAAGGAATGTAACACTTCAGTATCTCCTAACATTTGTAGAATTTGAGTGGATTACTTTAACATTTATGTAACCCAAAATAGTTCACTAATAATTAATAAACATTATTGAGTAAATTTACAAATTCAATTTTAGAGCCAAAAAAATCAAAATAAATAGTGTTAAATCTCTTTTTTTTTACTTCCTGTCATATTTCTCTTCTTTTTTTGATAAACAAAATGAAATACCTTTCCATTTCATTAATTATTCAATTAAATAATAATAATAAATTACAATTCAATTTACCTAAACAACACTTTTTTTATAATTTTATAAAAAAAAGAAAAAAAATTATTTATTTATTTTAATTATCACGTAGTAACTAAGCAATGAAAAATAGATTTTTATTATTGAAAATATTATCACTAAATCGATTGACATTATCAAATTTAATATAAAAGTACATAAAATTGACATTTTTTAAAATTTTTTTAAAAAATAGAAAAAAAAAGGAAAAATTAAAATCATCATAGATATATAACATAGAGATTTATATAATTTGAAAGAGAATTATATTAAAGATAGTTGTTTTTGTAAATATTTTTGATCATCAATTTATGGTTCAACAGTTCTTCTTCCTTTTTGTTTTCTTTTGCTACTTCACTCTACATATAAATATATATATTAATTTATTCAGTGAATTTGTCTATTTACTGTAGTTAAAATCTAGAATAATAACAAATTTTTTGAAGCTTTTTTTTGTTTTATAAATTTTTGTTCAGAAGGGATTTTGTGGGAAACTTTAGTAATTTTATAAATGAATTCATGAGTCAATTTAGGCTAGACCACCATGGAAAATCTGCAAGCACTGGACAGCCATTTCTTCTTATTGTGGGACTCCTCAGCAGTTCGCATCCATGTTCGTGCCTCGTGAGATTCGAACCCAGGACCTATTTGTTTCACGTGCGTGCACTAAACCTTTAGACCACTGAGCCGGCATCCATCGGTGTTAATGTTTGACTTCAACTAATCCACGAAATTGAGCAACACATTCACCATTGTCTTCAATTGAATGTATTTAGCTACAAAATAACAGAATATCTCAGTAAAATCTGACAACCATACAGTAAACACTTTATTTGCAAACTACCAATCAATTGTCACAATCTTGACTGTCCCTTCTGCCAATATCAGTTCATCGTCTCCGATTATTATTTTTCATGTACTGTCATATCCATCGCGTTTCGTTCCCGTTCCTACGTTATCGATCTTCTACTGAAATACATTCAATGATCGACCACAGTTATATACTGCTTATGTGGATATAATTAACCCCTACCACAATTCGTCTTAAGAAATATTTAATGTTATTAACACGAGTTCAAAAATTTGTAATAAAAAGTCACTTCCGTATTATATTATTTTCATAGTTGCAAGCGTGAG